GAAATCGCCCATTTGGCGCAATCTAAACTATTACCTCCCCCGCGATAATGCACAAGAACCGAATAACAGAGTAAAATTCTATGAAAAATATCGGGATCTAAGGTAATAAAGTATACTTTAGAAGACCAAGTGCCCGGAAGGCCCGAGCACGTGCACTTCAAGACTAGTGCAAATTCGGCGACACTTTGGTGGGAGCAGCCAGCGAATGCCGATACTATCCTGGTTCGAGGGTAAAAATATTTGATTAAAGTATTGAATACTATTTAATAGGAAATAGAACAATATTTTTATATATCCAAATTTCTTTAGATACGCGGTCTCCTATGGCATCGGCACGCCGAGCAGCAAGATTGTCATCGAGGGCGCTGACACGAATTCGTTTACGATCGATCGATTAAGTAGGGTTTTGGGAAGATTGGAAATATAGAATTTAGGATTTTCAAAGGTTAAAAAGGTTATCCAAAGCTTTAATTTTTATTTCATTTTTTGTGCATTAATTTGGTGGCTTACTTTCGTGGCTTAATTCATCCGAAATGCTTCTAAATCTAAATTTCTTTTTTTATCAAAACCTTCTGGTTGAAATTGTCGGATTTTTTATTACCTAGAAGGTTGTTTATTAGCAAAAGTTTAAATCTATAATTTCTTTTAGAACCCGCCACGCACTACGTCTTCGCCGTCAATGCGTATAATGAAGCGGATGGTGAAGATGGGGAAAAAGTGCTTTTGAGTGGAACGACGCTCGATGGCGAGAATGGTAGGGTTAAGCTTTAAAATCACCATAAACACGTCTATTTAGGCAATAAGGGCTCCTTCTCGCTGTGGCCACCCATTGCCGTCGCGCCAGCGCGAAAGAACGAGCCGTTGAGGTGGGATTTTATAGCTATCTAGCCTGTATATAGTACAAATTTGTCGTTTTATAGTGTTTTCAGTAATTCGCGTTTAAAAAAACTTATAAAACACTTTGAAGGATTAAAATCAAATTTTCATAGATTTTTCACCAAAATCCAAGGTTTTCCGTGATGTTCATAATTTTCTTAACGAGATTTTTATACTTAAATAGGCCGTAATAATAAATATGTTTGTTTAAAATTTCCACAGTACGAATTTCGATATTTTGAAAGTAGTCCTAAATTTTCAGGTAAACTGGGAAGACCCAAACCCAGAACGAGCCGAGGAAAACCGATTGGACGGCAATGGAAGACATTACATTGTTCAGTACGTAGTTTCCGTTTTTCACAATTACTTCCGGTTTTTAGATACGGTCTCTACCAGTCGGAGCGCCACGAAAAATTCGGGCCAACACCAGGCCATGAAGCTGGTGAATCTGCTGCCCGGGCGAGTATGAGGTGGCCGTCAAGGTCAGGGAGTGTATTATAAAGAAAAGTTGTTAATTATAGGAAATCGTAGCTAGATAAAAAGTATAATAAACTTAGCTTTATTGGTTATAACGTAGCGTAAAAAGTATGAAAAGCTATTAGGTTTAAATTGTAGAAAATGAGTGCTTTTGCATTATCGGGTGGACTAACTTTTTTTATTAGTATCCATTTATCCAATATAAAAAAAAGACGTATTTCTATACTGCTTTTACTATTACTAAACCCAAAACGTTACAACTTTTATTAGAAAAAATACAAAAATATGGATTTTTCGACCAAAAGAGTCTAATTTTAAAAGTTTTTTTCAGAGGTTTTGCTCTTGCACAGCTTTGCTCTCTTTTTCACCTGAAATATGGTTAAATGTTACTAAAATCACTATTAAAATACTTGCTATTAAGTAACAAGGCATTTCCGGAAAAAAATTCAAAAACCGAAGTTCTGTAAGCTTAATTCAAGTATAAAATCCGTCCCCCCCGATAATGCGAAAGTACTGAAAATGGCAATCTTAAAATATACTGAAAAAGGTTTAGTGTATAAACTATAGGTTTAACGTATAATTTTTGATGCCAATTTTCAGGTAATTGACGGGAATGGCCGCGAATCCCCCTGGAGCATCCGCGACATCATTCTCACCCCAAAAGGTGCTCAATTTTAATTGTATTTTTGTTAGTTATTTTCTATCTTTTTAATCTCTTATTTTGTGATGAATTCCAGTCCCGTATTGGTATCGAAAGGGGCACAAGCAGCCAAATCGGGGCAGGTTTTGCTTCTCCCCCCCGCAAAGAGAAAAGAAAAATAAGGCAGCTTCTCGATGTTGTGGCAATTATTTTGAAGCGAGCTTTAGTAAAGGGTACTGAACTGTTGGCAGGGGGAACTAATTTTAACCAGTAATCATGCACGGTTCTATAACAAAATATATAACTTTTTTACAGCATTGTAAACAATTTTTAGATATAAAAAGCTCACAAAAATGAATTTTCCAAAATGTTTGAGTTTTGGTCAAAAAGCCCGAATTTTCGAGATTTAAAATGTTTATAATATGTTTTGTAACTTTCTAGAAATCGAAAACGACGAAAAACTTAATAAAATAAACTATTTTTTATTTACAAATAGGTATAGACGGAAATAGTCTTCCCCGCTGCTGAAAATCCCCCCTGCTAACAGTCCAGTACCTAAAAGGGTTCTTTAGGATTCCCGGGGGGGGAAAGTATTCCCGGGGAAACAAATTTTCGGCGAAAGCCTAGATTTTTGTATAAATTGCAGATGCGTTTCTAAACTGTTTTTAACTATTCCTGTGCATAAAAACTACACACATTTTAACCAAAAAAATGTAAAAAATTAAAAATTAGGTCGAAAAATAGACCCAAAATGACCAAATTTTCGACTTTTTCAAACAATTTTCTAAATTTTTCTGAAAGTTATTCTGCTTTAAATATACTTGAAACTTACTAAAAACAATTCGAAAACACTTTATATTTGATTACTAGGTCAACCGGGAAAACCAGGAAAAAAATTGGTTTCCCCCCCCGGGAATACTTTCCCCCCCCCGTGAATCCTAAAGAACCCCTAAAAGGGCTAAAATAGATATAAAATACCCCTTTTAGGTGGTAAGAGCAAGAACGAGACGAAATACGACTGGGCCTGCCGATTTGAGAAGGATGTTTGCGGGATGAAGACGGCTGGGGAGGGTGATACCGGATGGGCGAGGATGCGGGCCAATGGGCATAAAGCTGGTATGAACTTTTTTTAATTGTTTTTATGTTTTTAATTTTAGTTTAAATTGTTTTTAAATTGTTTTTAGGGACCCACGTGATGGCGGTCGATCCATCGGCTTCACCGGCCAGTCATTCTGCTCTACTCGTCTCGCCTACGTTTACCGAACTACAGAATTCGCACAGCATTTGTTTGAGAATGTCGCTATGGGTTCGGGCTGGGAATAGTGATGGTAAGAAGGAGGAATATATTTATTTTACAATATCTATATTCATATGTGGTTTTTTCGTCGATGCTTTTGCTGGCTGGAAACGTAAAAAGCTTTAAAAATATTGATTAACACTAAAAATATCGGTTTTCCGAAAAAAAATCGAATTTTTAAAAGCTTTTTAAATCACTAAAATACGCTTTTTCCAGCCGTTCTTTCCGTTTACCTGGAAGACGAGCGAACATCAATTCGAGCCGAGGTGTTGCGTGCGGAAGCCGATCGGTTTCCGCGTGACAAATGGGCGGATGTTAGGCTTAATCTGAAGAGACAGAAAGAGCCATTCAAGGTAGGGAGAACCCTTGGAAAAAGTTTAAAAAATACACAATTTTTGGTCGAAAACTTTACTTTTTTGCGTTTTTTATGAAAAATTTATAAAGATCTTACTTTTAGGAACAGCAAGAAATCTATATAACGAGATAAATCGTTCTAAATGTTTAGGTGATCGTAGACCTTCGATGGCGCGCTGATGCTACGTGGACAGCGCTTGACTCGATCTCGGTTTCAAGCGGTGTCTGCACGGATCGAGTCGGAATCCGACTTCCGCCGTATACAGGTAGGCTATAAACAACGATAGCTATGATTTTTTGGCGTCCACTCTTTTATAGCTATTTTTTCGCTGCTTATAAATTATTGTGGGCCAACTTTTTCCTTCGAATCCAGTGTTTTAAAAATTTTTCTAATAACAATAAAAAAGTGTCTTAAACCATTTTTAAATATTCCTAGAAGTGAGAAGTTAAAAATATTAAAATATCGATTTTCCATCGGTCAGGACCGATTTTCTATCAAAATTTCGAATTTTTAAACGTTTTTCAGATAGTTTTCCACTCGATAAGGGTGCGGTATAGAGAGAAAACGTCGCTTTTGGTTTTCTTATTTCTTTTTTTTATCATTTTTTTTTATTAAAACAAAAAAAAAAAACAAAAAAAAAAAAAAAAACTTTTTTTAGGAGAAGAGGGGGCTATAGTTTAAGTTCACTAAGAACACTATTTAAATACAATACGTTTTTGAACTTATATTAAAAATACCCCCCCCGACAATGCAAAATAATCCTTTTAAACGAAGTCTAAAAGTCAACAGCCGTTGCCTGGCTCGTCAAACTCTCGAAAATCGCCACTTTCCGCCCGGGTTTTTGGGGTGTCCATTTGAGAAATGGGCCAAAAGGGGGGTATGAAGCCGTTCGGAAATGGTGTTGGAGGGAAGAGTGGTCTCTTGGGGATTTGTGATATTGGAGGAGTTCTCGGGTGGTCTGTCTGTCTGTCTGTGATGGCTGCTTTTTTTTTTTAAAAAAAAAAAAAAATAGGGGATTTTTTAAAAAAAAAAAAAAAAAAAAAAAAAAAAAAAAATGGGTTTTTTTTTTTTTAAAAAATTTTTTTTTTTTGAGAGGAGAAGCGCCCATTTATTTTCTTATTTTTAGACTACTTACTTTTTCTTATTTTATTTTTTTTTTTTTTTTTTTTTTTTTTTTTTTTTTTTTTTTAACTTTTTTTTTTTTTTTTTTTTTTTTGCTTTTTTTCCTAAAAAAAGCTGCTAACCCGCCTTTTTACAAAAATTAAGCCCGAGGGATGCTGTTCCAAGGGCTCTAACAGCCGCTTCTTTTCCGGCAAAAACTCTGCTAGCTCGCCAAATCCACTTTTTTATACAAGTTTTGAACTAATGCTTCTAGGTTTCAAAATTTACCCGCTTCTTTTCCTCAAGAAACAGTGCCAGCCCGCCCAGCCATTTTTTGTGTGGAAAAATGCTTAAAAACTGTTCCGGGTATTAAATGCAAATTTTCCAATTCCCCAATAATCTCTGCTAGTCTGCCCCATCTGGTATCATTTTTTCTCAAGACATCCCGTTGATAGCCTTGTAACGGACACTTTCCATCCCGTCTCCCGGCTGTCCGATCTGCTTTTTGTCGGTTTATACGCCACCCCCGATGTCTGCCCCTCCTTTCTTCTCCTTTTTTTGAGGCGCGACATCTGGCCTCGTCCAACCCTAGCTGTTTCTCTCTCTCTCTCTCTCTCTCTCTCTCTCTCTCTCTCGCTTCTTTGGCCCTTTCTTTTGCCCATTTCCGCGCTGACAAACCGTAAAATCCGGTAAAAACGGGGCCCGATGGGTCGGTGGGGTGCAGTCCAGCCGGGGTCATTTCACAGCCGGTGTCCCGTGTCTATCCGGATTCCTCAACGGTCTCCGCTAGCCTGCCGTTAAATTGAGTTTCAGGCCATCTGCTTTAAGATGAGGTTTCGGTGCTCCTAAATGTTCCAAAACTGTCTCTACTAGCTTGGCTAGCTGGTTTTTGAATCCTCAAGGTTCTCGGCTAGTTTCCCTCATTTTTGCGTCTTAATTAGATTTCAAAATGCTCTCTGCTGGCCTGCCAGGCCGCTCACAATTTCCTCAAGGTTTTCTGCTAGTCTGCTTCCTATTTTTAACAGTCTTTTATTTCCAAAATTGGTCTTTACTAGCCTGCCCAGGTTCTCAGATGTTCCTGAATCCGGATTAGCCTTTTCGGGCTTCTAACTATCCAAAACTCTGCTAGCCTGCTAGACCTGTTTCCGATTCCTCAAGGATCCATGCTAGTTTGCCTAAAGTTTTGGGGTTGTCTCATAATTCCTAAAGGATCCCTGCTAGCATACACCTCCTCCAATTCTCCCGTCAAAATGTCAACCAATTCCACGAGTTTCCGGGCCCCGGTCCCCAAATCCCCGGCTCTTGTTGGGGCCCACCCGGAGGCCAATCCATCAAATGCCATCAAGGGTTTGTGGGCACACGATAGAGAAGAAGAAGAAGACGACATCTTCTTCTTCTTCTTCTGAGAGGGACGATACGAGGCTTTTCCCGCTTCATCATCATCATCTTCTTTCTATTCTATAGACAGAGGTGTGGCCATGTCGTGTCCGGAAATCGAATATTCACAACGCTTCAAAGCAGAGCAAAGTGTTGCTATTCTTTTCTGAAGGCCCCCGGCTATTTCACGCCCTTTTAGACCGGGGAAACTAATGGACTGAATTCTAAAAAGTGGACAATTTGTAGAGATTGGCTAGGTTACACTGGTTTTTGGAATTTTACTGGATTTTTTGCTTACTTATTACTGCAAGTTCTCTCTCTCTATCTCTCTCTCTCTCTCTCTCTCTCTCCCCTCTTCTCTCCCTTTCTCTCTACCTCTCACTAGCCGATTCTCTCTCGCCCTCTCGTCTAGTTCTCTCTCTCACCATCTCTCCCACTCTCGATGTCTCTCTCTAACTTGTATCTTTCACTCACTCACCATCTCTCTCTCTCTCTCTCTCTCTCTCTCTCTCTCTCTCGCTCTCTCTGCCCGAAATCCGGATCGGTAGTGCATGACAGAGATTACTTGAGAAATTGGTGAGCGATAAAGCTAGAGGAAGGGGGAAAAGAGACGAGCGAGGGGAGGCGACGGAAAGAGATATAGGGAGAGAGTACGAGAGAGATAGGTAGCGACAGGGAGAAGCGAGAGAATCAATTTTAGTAGTCAAGGTAGAATGATAAGAGAGAATTTTTTAAAGGCCTAGTAAGGCAAATTTCAATCCCTTAATTTCGCCGAAATCAATCCTTTAAGATACAGTACCCCTCTTGGACCTTTGCCAAAAGTCTATCCAACACACCAAAGGCGGTATGGCCCCCTCCTGGCCCTCCCCAATGAAATATTGATGTTGTCCTCATAAATCGTGCTTTCCCCTCCCCCTCCCCTCCTCCTTCTCCCCAATTACCGTGTGTCGGGAATGGGGATGGGCCATTGTGGTCAAACCGACCATAGGGAGACGAGGACGACAGGTGGGGGAGGGGCCAACAGAGGGAGACCATTTGTCTCTCTCTCTCTCTCTCTCTCTCTCTCTCTCCTTCTTCTGTACTGTCACCCACCGGCCATCCCATTAACATCACCGTTTAGCAGCACAGCCCGGTTGCCCTTGACCGTACGTTATTTTAGGGGGGCTTGAGAATAAGCCTATCCTTGGCTTGAGCTTCAGATAAGCCTCAGCTAAACCCAAGCCTAGAGACCTAAGCTAAGTCTCAGCCAAGTCTAAGCTAAGTCTAAGCTTAAGACTAGGCATAAGCCTAAGTGAAGCCCAAGCCGAAGCCCAAGCCCGATCCCAAGGCTAGTTTGAGCATAAGCAAAGCGCGGCTAAGCCCAAGCCTGAGCCCAAGTCTAAGCTAAGCCTCAGCTAGACCAAAGCCTAAATCTAAGCCTAAGCTAAGCCTCATAAGTCGGAGCGTAATCCTAAGCCTAAGCCTAAACTCAAGCTGAGCCTAAGCATACGTCTAGGCCATGTATAAGCCAAGCCAAAGCCTATGCGTAAACCTAAGCCAAGCCTAAGCCTTTTCTTCGCTAAACGCTGCTTGAACCAAAAAAAATTCTAAAGAAGGCTTATTCACACCCGCAGGGACACGAATGAATCGTCCCACCCCGACCTTCATACCCCTTTTGTGCTTATCGTGTCTCGGGTCAAGCCCCTTTCTGGCTCTCCAATCGCTTTAAACGCGTTTTCGAGCAGAAACCTGTTTTGGATACAATCCTCGTGTACGGTTTGCTACAAATTACGGAGTCGTCAATACGGTTTTTTGCGCCCTAAAACCTGTCCCACTACTACGCGCGGTTCTTGCACGTTTAAAGGGACTTGGAAGCCAAATTTTGCGTATGGCTAGTTTGCCCTCGCGTCTCTGCTCCGTTCGCTCATGCTCCAAATTCGCCACTGCTCGTCCCCAAAAGCTCTCTGCTAATTTTCTGGGGCCCTAAAATATGTCGTCTCAATTAGCTTGCTCATGCTCCCGAATGGACTCTGCTAGATTCCCTGTATCTCCCAAATGCGCGCTACTATTTAGCTCATGCTCCAATTTTGCCACTGTTTTGCCGATCCACTAAACGGTCTCTGCTCGCTCGCCCCGCTTCAAAATAATATCTGCTCGTGTTCCCAAGCTCCAAAATGACCGCTGCTAGCATGCCCGTGCTCCCAGATGATCTTTGCGCACTTGCTCATGCTCCTGAATCAACTCCTCGTTTCTTCATCCTCTCAAATATTTTCTGCCAATTTGCTCATGCTCGAAAATGCCACTGCTAGCCTGCTCACCCCTTTAAGACTATTAATGCGCCCTCATATCCGTAAAATTATATTTTTATTCACTAACCTTGGCCGTTGAGAGATTGAGTGGGCCCTAAGGTGTCCCATATTTGGGCCCTAACCATGGGCCCTCTGCCAAGAAAATCCCGGTCGTCCGTTTCGACCCCCCCCTTCTGCCAAGACCACTAGTCGAGGAATATCTTTTGTTTCCGGTTGGAGGAGGGGCCCTTGCTTCGGCTTCTCCTTTGGCCCCTTCCCTGGCCCCCGCCTTAGGTCCCATCCTTAGAGAATGGGGGGCCCAAAAGGGGCCAAGCTCCACCCCCTTCCCCACGTAATACCTCATGAAAAGTGTCGCCTTCTCCGGGGGGTTTGCCCGGGGTTAAGCACCATATTTTGTTGAGGGCTAATGCTTTTCTCCTGCTTGTTTTATGGATTCTAGGAGTTTTAGAATAGCTTTAAAGGGTTTAGCAAGGCTTGGTTGTAGATTTTCGCCTTCATAGCTCTTTTAGTATATTTTAACGGAACTGGGAAGGCTTGGCTATGGATTTGTGCCCTTCCAGCTCCTTTGAAATTTTTTCAGGGCTCTAGCAAGACTTCGTTATGACTTTAACCCGGCCTTGTTTGGCCCTTTAAATGACACCCAGCCTTCCCAAGAATCTCTGCTAGCCTACCTCTTAACTTTTCTGAAATCCCGAATTTTCCTACTGAATTTTCTGTATTTTCATGTTTTTCTGATTTTCTCAGCTCGTTTCAGCCAACCGTTCTTCCGTTCTCGTTGCTATTTGCTAAATGTTGCCCCCCTCCACTGACTACCGTAGCGAAGAAACCTGAAGGGCCATGATTGGCCCAAGATTGTTGCTCATCGCCTGGGCCCTAATAGCTGTGGCCCAGGCATTTGATGAGATTGGGAATCCGCTCGATTCTGAGGACACAGGTAAATAGGATAGAGAGAGAGAGAGAGAGAGAGAGAGAGAGAGAGAGAGAGAGAGAGAGAGTGAGAGATGCAGCTAGTGAGTCAGAGTGAGCAACAATTAGTAAAGAGAGATAGTGAGAGAGAGAGAAAGCGAGAGCTAATGAGAGTGACAGTGAGGGCTAGAGAGAAAAGAGAAGGAGAGAGAGAGAGAGAGATGTTTCTAGGAGTGTCTTGTATCTCCTCCTCCCCCTCTATTTGATAAATAACCCCCCAGGGACCAATGAAAAACATTCCGCAACCCTCTTCTCCACCCCTCAAGCCCAGATTTCGGGCGCCGATATGGTCAAAAAGCACAAAGAAAAATTTCCTATTTATACCTGCATTTTTGGAATTTTAGAGCGCGAATTTAACTCAAAGAAATTGTTTTTGAGGCTTTGTAGGCCATATGGAAGGTTTATGCAAATTTGGACTTTTTAAGGTTTTTAAAGGAAGTTGCAAGATTAGGCTATGGATTTTCTACAGATTTTTGACGCCTTATATTGCCGGAATCTATTACACGATATAAATCCGTGGCTATGCTTGCGAATTCCATACGTAATAACAACTCGTTCCTTCCACGCCCCTGTAAAAGTATAATTTTAATGAGTTTTAAACCTCAAATCGAAGATTATGCTAACTGCCAATTGTTTTTCAAGGTTAACAACCCCTTTAAACGCCCCAACAATCAAGGTCAGCCTTGAAAAGGCCTTTAAAATCGGGGTTTGGGCCGCCCTCACTGGAGGTCATGGCGCGTCGTATAATAGGAAAACAAACGGGAGCTTGGTGGTTTAGGGGCACGGATTAGTGGCCCCTGGGGCCGAAGATGCCTTGTAGGAATGCTGAAAAAATGGCGGAAAAGTTTCTTAAACCAAATCCTAACTTTTTCTTGTTCGAAAAAATCAATAAAATAGGGTAGTGTATTGGTATTGTTTTTGGCCGCCAGGCGTGGTGCCCCCGGCGGCGGAAACTATTTCCCGAATCGCGGAAATTTTTAAGGGCGTTTCTAAAGGTGCAAAGAAAAGATAAAAGTGCCGCTAGAAAAGTCGAAAAGTCGTTTTTAGATGCCGAAAGCGAGGTCGACCTCCTCGTGCCGGTCGAATCGGCGCTGAACACCGATGAGCGCGTTTTCCGCGCGCGCGGAATAGACGGATTGCCCGCTATTGGAATTCAGGTTTGCTAAATCTAAAAAAAACTGGCTCACAATTAAAAATTGATAATTGAAAACACATATTTTAGGAGGTAAGACCTGCTTTTGCCCGCCCGGGGAGTGTGAGTTTGAGACCGGAAAAAAGCTAAAAAGCCAGAACGCAACGCGCCAAGCACCGCATGCTTCACCCAAATCTGCAGACAGACAGACAGAATGGAGTGTGCCGCTTGACAAACACTTTTAAAAGCTTTGCTAAGCGGGTTTTGATATGAGATTTTGCGTGGCATTTTTACTATCTGTTTCTCTCTGTCTCTCTTTCGGCCTCCCTCTCTGTCGCTCCCTCTCTCTCTCTCGCTCTCTCTTTCTCTGTCTCTCTCTCTCTGTTTTTACCCCTGCCAATTATGAAGCTGAACGTCTTGAAGACGCCGAAATCTCTTTCCCCCCACTTCTCTGTCTCGCTCGCTCTCTCGCTCTCTCGCCCTCTCTCTCTCTCGGTCTCTGCCTGTCTCTCCCTCTCTTTCCACTCTCTATCGCTCTCTCGCTCTCCACCCATATGCATGGAGTGAGCCAACAAAACCAAATCCGGTCCAAATTCGATATTTTTCAGCGCGGCGTGACCATCGTAACCCCATACCGTCTCTATTTCCCCAAGCGATTCTTCCGGGTAACTTTTATTTCACGCCCCGATTACCGTACCCTTTCGCTGTAGGAATTCGCGATCCTGGCCGCTGTGAAACCATCCGATCGTCGTGGCGGCTATTTGTTTGCCATTGTCAACCCGTTCGACACGATCGTCGACTTGGGGGTGTTGTTAGAGCCGGCTGGTAAGTGGGGGCAGGCTAGCAGAGAGCATTTGGGAACAGATTATTGATTTATTGATTTATTATGTATTTAATAGACGTGTATATGTCTATTTTTAGACTCTGGCCGGACGAACATCACGTTGATGTACAGCAACTCGAGAACGGACACCTATTCCAAGGCTATCGCCTCATTTCTAGTGCCGCAATTTGAGCAGGAGTGGACACAGTTTGCACTTGAGGTATGGAGCTTAAGCTTAGATCAAAGACTAGGCCTAAGCCTAAGCCTAAGCCCGAGCCTAAGCCTAAGCCTGACCCGAAGGCTAAGCCGATGACTTGGCTAAGTCACTCATACCCTGAGCTCGTGCTCCAACGAAGCCTAAGCCAAGGGAACAGCTGAACTTACGCCGAAACTAAGCCTCTAAACGAAGCATAAGCCGTAGTCGAAGCTAAGCCTCGGCCTCAGCCTAAGCCAAAACCGGTCCTAACTGAAGCCAACCCCGCCAAAAGTGAGGCAGAAGCTTAAGTAAGCGGAAGTCGATGCTAGGCTAAGCTCCAAGCTCCTTAAGCTCGTGCTCCAACCAAGCCTCAGCCTAACTAATATTTTCAGGTCCGCCGTGACGAGGTGATCCTCTACTTCAAATGTGTTCGATACTCGGCGATCAGGGTACGTGTTTTGCCAGAAATCTATGTATTGATTTTTACTTACGCCAACAATTTTGCTTTCCATGCTCCTTTAAAATCATTTATTACCCCTCCAGGTAAACCGTGTCCCGGAACAACTTCACATGGAAGATGCTCACAAGCTCTATATTGCCGGCGCGGGCCCAATTATTAAGAGCGGCTACGAGGTACGTCTATTTACGGCTGGGGGTACTGTAGAGCGCATTGTCTGCCCCCTCTAATAATGAAGAGATGAACGGCTCGAAGACTTCGGAAACAATATTTGGATCCTGGAGCTGAACTGCTTAAAGAAGTTTGACATCGAGAAAAGCAGCAGACTTTTCATTGAGACCGAAAGGCTTGAAGACATCGGAGAATGCTTCAAATAGCGACATGGCTTCATGTCGAACTTTGCAGCCTTGAGCTGACCGTATTGAGGGCGTCAGGGCTTTGTCACAGCGTCAGCCTGTCGGGGGGGAAGCCGGGCGGGCCGAAAAAAAAGGAGGTGCGTATCTAACGGACATGGAGCAGCGAATTCTGAGGCTGGACGGCTTGACGACGCCGGAAAGAAATGATCCAACGGTTCAATGATGTAGGGAGACGGTTCTTTATCGCTCTCGCGCTCACACTCTATCTCCCTCTCTCTCGCTCTCTCTCTTTCTCTCTCTCTCTCTCTCTCTCTCTCTCTCTCTCCCCCCGTCTCGGCTACGGTTACTTACCCCCAGCCGGAAGTTTTGGCTATAACTTTTATTTTACATATTGTAGGCCAAATTAAAACCTTAGTATATTTTTCGACGCTCTATCGAATGGCGTTGCGAAAACGAAAAAAGCGAAATACCGACATTGTGGGACCCTTCGGCTGTGGGGGGGTAAAGTAAACTCTTAACTCTGTTCTCTCTGTCTCCCATCCCAGATCACTTTCAATATCGGTGCCAGTTCGCGATGTTTTAGTCTGTATCGAGAATGGTGAGAGCGGTCGGATAGAATGATTCAACCCCCTCTTTTTTCCAGAAAATCAAAACATTAAAATGAGCCCTGGGGCAGGAGACAGACAGTCTTTCCTCATTCAATTTCCGCGGCTCAAAAATCCTCTCATTACGAATTTTTTCGAAACTCGTGATTTGTCAACTTGAAATTCATCAAAACTACGTCTAAAATTTCCCTTTAAAGTGCCTTTAAAAGCTCGACATTTAAAGGGCAAATTCTTGAAACACATAATTGGGGTAATAAGAGTAAAAGTTTAATTCTAAAATAGTTTTTTTTTTGCTTCTTTATTATCCTATTTGTTGTTCTACCCTTTCCGCCCTCCTGCTCCTCCTCCCCGATTGACTCATCCTCCAATTGCCCTTTTCCTCCCATGGCCCTCACTCACCTTCCATTACCCATTTGTCCATCGTACAGTCGCGTATTAACTCCCCGAAATCACCTTTTTGTTATTTTTTATTTAGTTTGAAAATGTCATAGGATTATTTTTGAAAATCCTAGCTAAAATCCCGACATCCGAAATGCCGACAGCCAAAATACCGAAAGTAGAAATTCCGCCGTCTTATTGACTCTATTGTGCCTTTTAAACAGCGATTTTTTGGTTCGGCATTTTCGCTGTCGAGATTATGGTTGTCGGGATTTTTTCGTTTTCTCTTTCTTCGAGATTCCACATTTTCCTATTGACAGTTTTGGAAACAAAATTCTCGGCGCATTATTGGCCGTCTGGCGCGCAAACAATCCCCCTGGCGAAATTGGCTGTAGTTTCGAATTTTTTCTGTTTTTGATGATTTTGTTGTTCTATAAGGGGCATATTTAAGCAAACCGTCAACAGGAAAATGTGCAATTCTCTGTTTTCTGTCTGAAATAGTTTTTTTCTCGTCGCCACCGGCCATTTTTGTGTTTTTTTACCGGATATATATAGTTAATTTGCACAATTTTTTAGCATCAATTGAGATTTTATCGTTTTCTATCGTAGTTACGGTATTTTGATCTTAATTGAAAACTCAAACATTTGAAAAATTGCAATTTTGGCGGAAATCGAAAATTTAAGCTTTTTTACCGTACTAGGACGGCTATTTTAAAACTTTTTCGGCTTTTCCAGGGTTCTTTTTACCCTTGAAACGGTTATTTGAATTTAAATTCAGCTATTTTGATCGTGGTTGGGCCTAAATCCCAACTTTTCTACCGTACCCCTAGCCGGCCCGACTTCTTTTTTTGGCCGCTGGGGAAAGTGCAGGGGCGGTTAATGGGGGGCAAATATTCCCATGGCCGGCGGTCTTTTTCTGCTTTTCTCTTGTTTCTCTCGCTTTTTTCTTGTCTCTCTCTCCCTCTGTGTCCAGTCATTCATCGGGGGAAATAATGGGATGGACTGTCTGACTCAAAAAACTCAACGGCTAAAAAACTCTCATTAAATTCAAACTAGCATGCCCAGACATCTCTCCCTCCTCTCTCTCTCTCTTTCTCTCACTCTCTCTCTCCTCTCTCTCTCTCACTCTCTCTCTCTCTACCTGTCTCTCACGCTATTTAACTTTCAGAATGCGTCCCCCCGAACCTCGTCTCCTCCTCCTTCTCACCTGTCTACAGTTGTCCCTCGTAGTCGACGCAAATCCCCGAGAAGAGGCCCTCGTCCAGTCTGAGGGCCTCTTATACCAACGAAAAGCCGATCTGAAAAAGACACTAGCCAATGAGACCGAAGATGATCTGCTGACGAAGATTACGGCGGGGCTTCCGTTAACAGTAGCTGATCGGAAATTGGGCCAAGCTGTTCAAACAGTTCAAGAGAAATACGAAGAACATCAGAAAATAGATTCCAGACGTCTATCGTCAAAGGTGGCGCCGAGGAAATTGGACCAACAAATTCAAGCAGTTCAAGGAGAAGCTCGAAAAGGCGACCTTAGAACTAACTCATCTACAGCCATTCCTATCCAATCCGGCCAGCGGGTTCGAGCAGTACAAAAAGAGCACAAAACCGTCTCCAGACGACTAAAGTCAAAAGTATTGCCTGGGAAGACTGGCCAACAAGCTCAAGGCTTTGATGGGCAAGAAAAAGACGGCAAAATGGGCATCGTAAATCTGAAAATAGTATCCTCTCGGAAACTGGCCCAACAAGTTCAAGCAGTTCAAGCTGACGATAAAATCGACCCCAGAAGGCTCGCGTCAACAGCATCCGTCCGGAAATCCGGCCAACAAGTCCCAGCAGTTCAAGGGACCGAGAATGAACTCGATGCTAGAACAAGAGCATCTACAGGCGCCAGAAAAAAACGAGAAACCGACGAAGACGCCAACGATTTTCTGGGTCAATTCGAGTTAGCTTTGATGACGACGAGACCATCCACTCAACGACTGAACAACCATGGGAAGTGCTTGGAGATGAACAAGCCGAAGACGGCTCTTATTCCATTGTCGACGTGCCGGATGCACTCCCAGAACTCGTCGAACCATCAGAAGATGATCAGCTGCCACGATTGGAATTGTTGCGCGTCTCGGAAGAGGGGGCAGACAGTCAGAGGGTGGATGATACTGTAGAACAGGTGTGTCCATTGGAGCATTTCGTTGTTTAGGGCGCCATTCAAGAACTGAAGATTATGGATGAACCGGCTGAAGCGGCTAGGCAATGCGATGAACGATGGGTTCGAGAATTAACCTTTTTTGGGCGGGGTTACGGTAGCTGGGGCGATGTATAGGGAGAATGGGGGTTTTTGGGCGGCTTTTGCATTATCGGGGGGGGGAGCAGGTTTTTCTCGTATCAAATTTTTTCTCATATAGAAAAAAACTTTTTCTAAGCAGTTTTTACTATTTTGTCAAGTTAACTATGAGTTTAATAAACGCAACAATTATGCAAATTTTTAGTAAAAAAAATACAAAAAACATCCTTCGCGACAAACAAAATTCGAATTTTAAAATTTTTCAAGGATTTCAGACGGGTTTTCCGCTTCAAATACAATTTTGCTTAGAGCTTGATACAAATACTATATATTACGCTAACAGGCTTTTCAGGAATTATAAACAATCCGTCCCCCCCGATAATGCCAAAGCCCCGGATTTTCGGCGTTTGCGACAAAAATTTTTCTTGTTTTTTTGAGAATGTAGTGGTTTTAAAGGGTCTTCATAACATTTTAGGCATTTTGGAATTTGGATTACAGTAGGCAGTGTTTCTAGACATTTTCTGGATTTTGGATACTGTAGCTCGCGTGCATTTTACTCGAAAGAGGATTTTTACATTTTACTTTATTAGAGGGAATCGAAAATTTCTCGTGGTTTAAAAAAGATGTAACTTTATAGACAATTTTTTTGAACCTGTGTCACGGTAGGCAGTTAGTTTAAACAGTTTTTTATGAATTTTCGGATACGATTTGCTAGTAAAAAAATCGCAAAAATAGGATTTATCGTAGAGTTTGGGTTACTGTATGAGCTACTATAGATGAACTCATTTTCTCTAGTGGCGACGCCGCAAGAACCCGGGCAGAAAGGTAGGTTTTAAATCCGGGAAAAGCCCAATTTTCCCCGGTTCCCTAAAGTGTGCCCTTCCCCCCGTGGTGTGGTCGCGTTTTAGAAAATTGCTGTAAAGCCAAAAATCATAAAAATAGGGAAACAAAATATTTTTGTTTAGGACGAGGGCTCGGGCGGGTTTTTGGATGAAGATGGGCCAGGTATCGGCGTTGGAGGGTTACTGTAGCCAGGACATCTTTTAGGGAAGACACGGTCTTCACAGCCAATGCTTGAACTTCCGCCAGCTCCCACACCACCACCACCGCCACCTCCAGATTTTATGCGCGAGCAGGGTATGGTGGTTTATCGTTTTGAGTACGTAGTACACCTATAGACGAGGGCGCATTGGCCTTCAACGGCTCTTTAAAACGCTCATTACTTTCGTTTTTAGCGTCTCTGACCCTCGGAGTACGATATACACCTATAGACGAGGGCTTCAATAGTCTTTTAAACCTGAAAATCCCGCTTTTCCGTGCCTTCCCCCTTTCCGGTGCTTTTACACTATCGGGGGGGGGGGGTCAATTTTTCTCACTCTTTTTGGTGTGTCTAAATCCCTTTAATTCTGCCGTACCAAGGGCGAGATAGCAGGGATTCTTTGCGGAAATCGCCCGTTTTTCAGCGGCCCGTCCCGAAGCATGGGCGAGTCGGGCCCACCTTGTGGATATGGATGGGGACAGTCTGATTGTTCCATTCGCCGGTCGCGGTGTCAAGAGTACTGTCGCGTAGTGCCCGCCCGCTAGAAATGCCTGCCATTAATGCGCGGATTGATTGGAGAGAGAACTAGGGAATGAAAGAGAGATTGTATTGTCCCCCAGAAAAGAGAACGATCCCTAGGCCGACTTTGCAGGCTACTGTAGAATTGGCCAGTTTCCAAATATGTAAATTTCCGTTTTCAGCGTACACTTCGTCGAGCTCGTTCGTCGCCCAGGGACTACAGGGGCCAAAGGGAGATCGCGGAGAGCCGGGGGTCGTAAGTTTTGACGCAATCCAATTTAATTCGTTTTTATGGCTTATTTATCTAGATTTTAGTTTTATTAACCTATTTCAATTTTTAAATATTTACAACATTGTTTTAATTTATCTAATTCTTTAAACGCTTTTTTCTTGTTTGAATTTTTAGTTTTTTTTTTAGTTTTATTCTGCTCCCTTTAAATCCATTTTTCAGTGCTCGATGCCGTGTCGTGACGGGATTGTGGGCCCACCTGGACCCGACGGGCCCCAAGGCGTTCAGGGCCCACAGGGGCCGCAGGGACCGGCAGGTAGGGCATTTATCTTTCCCTCTCGCCTCTCTCTCTCTCTCTCTCTCTCTCTCTCTCTCTCTGCTAGAGTACGCTGTGAAGGTGCCAGCAAGGCTGAAAGCCAAACCCTTCAAGCGCCTAGGTGTCGACAATCATACCCGATTTTCAGGCCCACCCGGCCCTCCCGGAATTGCTGTACAAAGTGGCGGAAACGGCGGGGTCTCGATCCCCGGACCACCTGGACCACAGGGCCCGCCTGGAGTTCAGGGTTCGCAAGGAGTTCAAGGTTTTCTGGCTAGCCAATCCCTTTAATAAAATTGCTAGGGCCTCGCGGTGAGCCGGGGATGCCGGGTAGGGACGGACGATCGTTTGATAGATTGGCTGAGGAGGACTATGAAAGGATTATTGCTGATCCCAGGGTTAAGGTATGTTTTTCTCTAGCTCTCTCTCTCTCTCTCTCTCTCTCTTTCTTTCTCTCTCCCGCTGGCAGGCTTTTGAACGCAAAGCTGAACCGCTTGCAATGTTGTAAATCTATGTACATCGGCTGGGGTAGAGCCTTAAAATGACAAACCTGGACGCCTCGAAGACGTCGCAATCTCCATCAAGCTGGAAAATTGGCGGAAAATGCTCCCCCCTCTCTCTCCCTCTCTCTCTCACTCTCTCTCTCGCTCTCTCGCTCTGGCCTTATCTCTCCATTTTCAGGGCGAAAAAGGTGAATGTGAACGCAGCAACAGCCTAGATCAACTCCCGGCCTACAATTCTGAAGTACACTCCCAACACAGCAAGGTAAACTTTTTATTTTTATGGATATTACTGTATTAACGTAGCCCTATTTTAATTGTTTAGGGCCCGAAAGGTGATCGTGGAGACCAAGGACCCCCAGGCCCACCCGGACCCCCGGGAATCGATGGAAATTCGGGAGCAGGTAGGCCAGACTAGCGGTGTTTTCTGGGGAATTGGGTTTCGGAGGGCTTGCACAGAATTTTATGGTGGACTAGCAGAGATTCTTGTGGAATTTGGATCTTGAGGAGCTAGCAGAGAACCTTGAGGAATTTGGAGTGCTAGCAAGGATTTTTAAGGAATTTCCGGAAGCTAGCAGTGATTTTCTGCGGAATTTTTATAGAACTAGCAGAGATTCTTGAGGAATGTGGAGCGTTGGCATCAATTTTTGAGAAACAGCTGAGTTTTTTTTGAGGAATTGCGAATCCCGTAGAGGAATTTTTTGAAAGGATTTTAGGGGCAGAGTTAGCAGAGATTTTTGGGGAATTTTAGCGAGGTAGTGGAGATTTTTAAAAGCTAGCATTTATAATTTCGGAAATTCAGGCTCCTCCTCCTCTTCCGGCCCTGCCACTGCCCCAATCTTCCAGACAACCGTTGATCTGTTCGGACTTGGCCGTCATCTTCGGTACGTTCCGTTCTAAACACTGCCCCAACCACCGTATCCCCCAGTGAGGGCAGTCTAGCCTTTGTCACGTCATCTCAGCAGCTCTTCATTCGAGTCACAAATGGTTGGCGGGAAGTTATGGTCAGGGAATTGATTACGGCATCTAATCCTGAATTTTCAGCTCGGTCAATATCATCCGATACTCGAGGCTCGTCCATCTACGGTAGGTTATGGAAATTAAGTTTTAAAGGGACTGAGAAGCGGCGAAAATCTAGCTTTTCAAAGTCCAAGGCATAAACAGTTACGTGATGCGCCAAATGGCGCTGTATATAATTTTTGGTGTTATTTGGAGTGTCACGTAGTCGTCGAGATTTAATGATTCGTAGGGTCGATGCTCGGACTTACCAGCCCCTGTAAACGCCGCCATAAAGTGAAATCTATGAATTTTTCAAGTAGTTTTTGCGAAAAAAATCCATAGCCAGGCCTCGACAGTTTCTGTAAAGGTACTGGAAAGCGCCGAAATCGACCCCTTATATAGGCTAGGTCTTGACAGCTACGTATCGCTCCAAAAGACAATAAATCTCCGCTGATTGGCGTCTTATGTAGTGTTGCGTAGCTGTCGACATCCAGTCATCGAAAGGGGTTCTTTTCCCCGATTACCAGCCCCTCTAAAGGAACACGAAATGCTAGAATCGACCCCTTCTATCGCGTAGGACTCGACAACTACATACAGCTCCAAAAGACATTGAATCTGAGCGCATTTGGGTCTTTTGGACAGTCGCGTAGCTGTCGAGACCCAGCAGAAGGCCGGGGTCGATTCTGACACACAAGTCAGCCGTTTAAAAATTATCTTTCAAGCCGATCGTAACGGAAAACAATTTGCGCTCGAACACGCTGGAATATTGGGTATGAGGAAATGTCGTGTTGTCGAAAATTGAATGAAAGCAAGCTCACCCATGTTTTCCAAGCTTTTTACGAGATGAAAGTGACTCTGTATCTCTCTCTCTCTCTCTCTCTCTTCTCTCTCTATCCCTCGCCTTCCAGCTGGGCGATCGGGCAGTCGTGCAGCGACACCGGTGTCGATTGCCCGCCATCACGGCGCGTCGCTCGGTTACGGTAACTGGGGCACCAGATAGCACGTGTTGGCCATGGGTTTGATGGGCCAGGCTCGGCTATTGACTTCAATGGCCCTTTAAAGAGAGAGAAAGAAAGAGAGAGACAGCGAGAGATAGACAGAGAGAGAGACATCGCCAATTTGAAGCAAAGCCAAGCCAAAACCCATTAAATCCCTACTTCCCCCCCAAAAGTCCCCCTTATATTTTCATCATCTCCCTCCCAACCCCCGTTGTGTTTGGGCCCGTCCCTCCCTCTAAGTAGTGCCCTTCTCTCTCCAAGCTACCGTAGTCGCACCGTGGGCCACAATCGACAGTGTTCTCTTTTTGTGGGTTCTGGTGCGTTAGCGGGGGGGGGGGGGTAAACCAATTTTATTTAGTAGAGCGTTTATACTAATAAACAAACATAAATATTAGTATTTCCTATTATTAAAAGCATGCCTTTATTTTTTTACTTTTTCTATTTTTTTACAAATAGTTTTAACAAAGAGCGTAAAGGTCATTACAACGTAGGAAAAACCATGCCCTCCCCCCGCTAACGCACCAGAACCTCTTTTTTACGGGGCACAAATCTGCCCCCAATAATTGTGTCGTTCGTCGATTAGAGCCCCCACGGATAGATACTAGATAGAGCCAAATACCCCCCCAATTACCCCAAATATGCTTTGTTGAAGTTTATAGTCGAGAAATTGTGAAAAATATAGAGTTTTGAAGGATTATAAAATTTCAGGAAACCCCACCTATCGAGACGCAGAAACAACCGATGGCCGAGGAGCCGAGAGTCCAGGTATTGCCGAGGGATTACGGTAATTAGGGCAACTCTTAGAATCCTGTGCGAAATTCGTACTACTATGATCATCAACTGCCGGCGGGACATCCACAGGAGAAAGAGAGGGTGGTGAGTGGAGATAATTAGGGAGAGAGGGAGGGAGGGAGAGAAGAGAGAGAGAGAGAGAGAGAGAGAGATAGGGAGAGAGAAAGAGAGAGAGAGAGAGAGAGAGAGAGAGAGAGAGAGAGAGAAAGAGAGAGAGAGAGGGAAAGCGAGTACAAGAGGGAGCGAGTGAGTGAGTGAGAGAGAGAGAGAGAGTGAGCTAGCGAGAGAGAGGGGGAGAGAGGCAGAGAGCGAAAGAGAGCAAAAGACATTTTAATTTTTTTGTTATAACCCTTTTTCCAGCTTCACCTGATCGCCCTAAATCAACCAATGTCGGGACGTATGTCCGGTCTTCGAGGTGCTGATCTCCAATGCTATAAAGAAGCGCGCCAGGCCGGCTTTTCAACGACTTTCCGCGCATTGTTGAGCAGTAAAACACAAGTGATTTTTTATTTCCGTTTTCTAGATCAATTTTCGTTGTGTTTCGTCAATTTTGAGGGACTATAATTTATATTTTCTTGTTCGCCACTGAAAAACGCACATTTTTATCTACTTTACTGACCTGTAGCTCAAAAAAGAGCCGAGATACAAAAAGTAGCGGCTTACCGGATCTGCGATATAACACTTAAACTACCGTACCTCGCTATATTCTTTTCAGGACCTCGTGAACATTGTGCACAAAGTGGATCGCGGTACCCGTGTGGTGAATGTGGATGGAGAAGAGCTGTGGCCATCGTGGGATGGACTGATCGAGGGTAGACCACCAGCCGATGGCGTCGCTCTACAGTCATTCCATCGTCAAGACGTCTTCCAATCATCTGAATGGTAGGCTGGCAGAGAACATTGCGGAAAAGTATATGGGTTCTGGCTTTTTACCCATTTTTAAATATAAAAACTTCACTAAAGCTATTTAAATTTGCAATAAATTTAGATTTTTAAATTTTCTAAGGATTTTTAGTGATCTAAATATTGATCAAAAAAATTATAAAAATATTTATAGGCGGTTTTATGCGTAAAAATTCGAAAAACCACTAAATTTTTTTGATTCTTGCTCAAAAATTTATGAAAATGACTAAATTTCAATTTTTTTATGATTTTTTAGTTATCAAAAACTTTTAAAAACGTCATTACTTATCCTGTAAAAAGCTTCAAATTTTGCTAGCCCGCTCCCTACCCCCCCCGCTACCAACCCAGAACCGAATCTCGCCATTTTCAGGTCTGATCGCCGTGTCTGGCACGGATCGGTGGATGGCGGCCTCCGATCGTCGGATCTTCTTTGTGATGGCTGGAGGACTGGTAGTGCATGGGAGAACGCGCTCGCGTCACCTGTACGTTTTACACCAAAGAACGCATTACCGGAACATTTTGTAGTTGGAACGCGGGATGCCGTTGGTGGGATGGCGCAGAAGGTCTCTTGCGACTCCAAGTTGATTGTGCTCTGCGTCGAGGTGGGGTTTCTGAAGTTATAAGCTTCAAAAATGGCAAAATTGACTCGATTAAGCTCGAAAAAGCTGTTTAATTTGTAGTTTAATGCGTGTACGGAATCGAACACGCTCGAAAAGGCGGTGTAGTTTGTAGTTTATTGAGTTTCCGCCGGGGAGAAATTTCTAAACTAGCAAAAAACATATGCCACCTATAATCGATTACGCTCGAAAATGCTGTTGCCTTGTCAATTCTTCTCTTTTTCAATTTTCCTGATCAAAGCCTGTAAAAAAAAAGCTAAAAATAACGGTTAAAACTTGCAGAACATGTCGAAATACAACGTCGACCGCATCCTCGCCAAGAAGAACGTCCACGAACGAGACTAAATCATATTTATTTTAATTTCTTACATCCCACCTTTATCTTTTTCATTACTCTTTTGATTTTTAGAAAAAATGGCCATCTCACTTCCATTTTCTCGGTTCCCGCCCCTTACAAGCCATTCCGTATTTTTTTTTTTCATTAGATCGTCACTGCCCACCCGGAGATTTAACATACCAGTTTATTTCTAAAGTTTAAAAGTTCTAAACGCTCGAATTAAATTAATTTCCTTTAACTTCCGCCATCTCTTTTTTTTTGGGGTACTCGACGCTTTCTAGCCAATTTTAAAACGGCGAAAGCTTTTCCAAGCTTTTCACTGCCTCGAATTCCAACTAGTTTAATTTGGCGCAATCTCGCAATTTAATTTTCCTTTTTCCACAAGGAAATAATGCTGCCAGCTATCCGAAAAAAACAACTTCCCGCAATGTTTTCCATACTCCCCGTAATATCAATCGCTATTCCTTCGTTCAATTTGTATTTTGTGATTTATCGCTTTAATTCGACATAAACATATTGCACTAGCGAGGAGTCTTATCGGTTTGATGCCAATGAATCCAGGTCTCTCTCTCTCTCTCTCTCTCTCTCTCTCTATCACTCCGCGATAATCCTTAGGACATATTCTGTCAAAAAGCAGCCAAAATCCACCAAAATGGAGCAGATTTATTATCCATAGCTTGCTAGTATATACATGCCCCAATCGACGAGGTCGTCTCGAGGACAACATTCAGTGGAATCGGAACACCAGCTCTCTGCGACAAATGGGATATTGGCATTTTGAATCAACTGATAATGGGCCATTGGAATTCTGACGTTTCTGAAGCGGTACAGTAGCGTGCAAAAAGAAGGCAACACCCAGGAAGCTCTTGTAACTCGGCTGCCTCGCTATATTTTGCACCAAATGGAATGTTTCCTGGTGTTTTCGATGCTGTAGAATTCGATGAGCAGGGTACCAAGCCGGGAAAATGACGTTTAGTAGCTTAAATATGCAATTTAAAATGGCTGGAAGAAATCAACTTTTTCTAAAGGCATTTTTCTGTTTCAAAAACATCACCATCGTGTTCAGCATGGTCGATTCACCCGAAGTCAATGTTTCCGGTTGCTTAGGAAGCCTTCAGTCGGTTAGGAAGCTGCGATTAATAGGTGCCGCCATCGGTCTGATGGGGGCGCCTGCAATACCTTTCCCCCAGGCGAACCCACTTCTTGACCCGTTTCGCGCAAAGAAAACGCGGCTTCCCGGCTATGCCAAGTCGAACCCGATCACAAACGACACTGACTTTGGGTAAATCGACCATGCTGAACACGATGGTGATGTTTTTGAAACGGAAAAATGCCTTTAGAAAAAAGTCGATTTTTGGAGCTATTTTAAATTGCATATTTAAGCTACTAAACGTCATTTTCGCCGCTTGGGACTTTGCTCATCGAATTCTGCAGCATCGAAAACACTAGGAAACATTCCGTTTGGTGCAAAATATAACGAGGCAGCCGAGTTACAAGAGCCGCCTGGGTGTTGCCTTCTTTTCGCACGCTACTGTAGCTAATGGTATCGTTGACGGCTTCTGGTCGCAGGACGCAGACTGTTTTGAGTAGTTCCTCGATTTCGGCCAGGTCCTGCAAAGAATTTGGCAGCCTAGCAGATTTTCTTGAGGAAAGGGGTCTACCGCTAAATCTAGGAGTGGAAATTGCACTTCGATGATGCGCCGTACGCCGTCTGGTGGTCGATTCTGGAAAGGCAATTAGTTTTCGAAGCGATCAGCCGATGGAATGCGTAGCAAAACGTACTCGCGATCTAGACCCACCTGACACGCCTTTTCCAGTCAATAAATCGTCGCATCCACCAAAAATTCAAGGATCTCTGCTCCAAAAAAGAAGCAAAAGACGAAATGCCGGGTGGTGGGCAACTGAAATACGCACTTTATAATTAAGGGAAGGCTCCTGAGTTCCTAAAGGATCTCGGTTCTGTTCTATTTCGCCGGGGGAAACTGTGCGGGGGGATATGCTTCGCAGAACCTTCCATCTTTTCGCTATTTTCTCGGGATTTTTGCAACGCCATTCGATAGAGCATCAAAAAATATACTAACAAGGGAAGGTTGTTTGGGTCAGGTGTCAAATCTTTCTGAAAATTTGCCAGTTGATAGAGAATTGAAAACGGAACAAGGTGCGCTAAGTCGTTTTCTGCACAATACCCCTAATTAAAAAGTTATAAGCATTTTAAGTTTGTGGTCTGAAAAATGAGTTCTACGCAGGCTTTTGCACCAATACCGCACCGTTTCCACATTTTCTTCATGTGTGATTTCTTGACCCTCCCTCGCCTCCACTCCCCACGTCTCTTCTAGCGCAATCGGTAGTGCGTTTGACTCCCAATCTTTTGAAAAATTTTTGGCAAAAGTTCGAAACTAAAACTTTTCCATCTTTTTGCTTTTTGCTTTTTGCTCTTGCAAATTAGGGTTAGTTGGCGTAAAATACAAAAAGCAAAAAGTTGGACGCATCAAAGACTTGAACTCGATTACAAAAATTTAAAAAGTTTTGCAATCTACGGCACTACCTACTGCGCCAAATAGCTTGCCAGTCCGGGCGACGCAAAAGCTTGAAAAGGGGGCAGGCCACAATGAGGACCAGATCAGAATCGTCGGGTCGTTTCGTGCTTTTTTATGTAACTTCAAAGACCTATAACTTTTTAAATTGGGGTATTGTGCAAAAAATGAGATTAAGAAACTCCACTTTATTTTTGATTTTCTATCCACTGGCAAAGTTTCAAGTCGATTTGACACCTGACCCAAACAACCTTCCCTTGTAAGAGTTTTTGTTTTAGCTAAAAATATTGTAATATAAAAAAGTTATAGCAAAAACAAAAAAAACCTGTTGAATCTGGTTCCGGAATGTTAGTTTTCGGCATTTTCGCCATTTTTTCGGGATTTGAACCCATCATTCGATAGAGCATCAAAAAATATACTTAGAGTTTTAATCCTACTATATATAAAAAATAGTTCCTGTGTGTGTGTGTGTGTGCATTTGAATGCAACTTCCGTCACCGTGTCCGGAGGATATCTCAAGAGGGGAAGGGTGTTAGGCTACGTATGATACGTCATTGGGTGCGTAACGTCCCCGAGATGACTGCACACATATCAGATTTTGCAAATTATGCTATTTTCGACATTAAAATTGAGTTTTTGTTGAAAAATCCGGCAGCCTTCTTTGTTAGGAAATAATTAGCATACGCCGGAAGTCGCGGCAGCCTATATATAACGTGAGAGAGTGGAATTCCTCATTTTTCCCCCATAGGAATTCGAGAGACGTATGCAGAGTGAAGAATTTCATCAAGTTAGACGGGGCCAGGTTGAAAAGTCGCGAAGCGGCTTTTCAACCCTGGTTTAATCTAAAAATATTGTTTTATAAAATAGTTATAGCAAAAACAAGGTTTATTCGGTGTTTCCACATGGGATCGTGGAGTCGAAAGCTAGTTTTCGACATTTTCGATAACTTTCAAAAGTTTCTTTAATGCCATTCGATAGAGCGCCTATCGCTTTTATTCGGTCCTTAGTGTCGATATTCGACAATGAGCCTATGTGCTTGTTTTATCTGCATTTCCAGATCGACGAGACCAATTCTTCGTTAAAGGGGCTCGGAAGTCAAAATTCGTGCGTGCGGGGATTGAACCTACTGGTCAAAAAACGAAAGGGTCGCTGCCGAGGAGTGCCAGAAAAGTGATTTGATTGCGAAAAAACGTAAAATATTTGAGAAAAACTGAATTCTTTTTGGGGCGAAAACGACCTTTTGAGTGGGCGGCGATTACATGTCGTAATGCCTCGTAAGGCACCCAATCTCTCGATCTCGGCGATTCTCTGATCAATTTTCATAATTTAAAAGTCTGGAATGATCCAAATTCGTTGAGGATTCCAAAAATCGCATCAGAATTTTTAAATTCAAGCGTTTTCGCGTCCAAACAGGGGCAAAAGACCATGCGGCGCGGTCGCGTTGCGGTCGCATCTGGCTATTTGCCAGGAATCACAGCAGGGGGCCGTGGACCAGATTTCGGAGCCCCTTTAACGACGCGTTCACGTCGAAGCTCTTCCGTATCAAGATTGCCTCGATCGTCGACCCGAAGGCCAACAGCACGGCGGCCCGACCTGGCAAATCCGTCGAGCCCCGAGCTGCCCGATCAGGTATCGCCCTTTTTCGCGCCTTTTCACCCGGCTTTTCCCTTTCAGTTGACTCGTACAATTATTTGCAACTACTCAAATCCATCAGTGCATCGAAAGTAGATTTACTAAAAGCTAAAAAAAAATATCGGGGACACCTTGTACTACTAGTAAGCATCAGTAAAAAACGGGTTTCTCATAGAAAACGCCTATGTTCCTTCGAATCTTTCTAAAAATGTTCAGAATGTTTGAAGTTCGGGTTAATAGCCAATAAGTAAAAAGTAAAAAAGTTTAAATTTTAACTTCAATTTCTACAAACTACAGAATACAATACGTTAATTCGATTGACCGACTGCTTTCTTGCTAAACCACGTCTAGCAGCGAGGGCAGCTACGCGCTACAGTAGACTTCCTTTTGTCCCGTTACTCCCTCGATCGCTTTTATCGATTTTTCTCTGATCTCGTTTGTAGACTTTTTGTTGCTTTTTTCTCCTCATTCCTCTGTTTTCCGGTTGTTTTATGTTGAAAGATAATAAAAATTTAGATGAGCGCCTTTGCGGGGCCACCAGCTCCCAAAACAAAATCGGTGCTTCTTGACGGGATCGAGCGCAGCCTATCGGAGGGACGGAAATGTGTTCTACGTGGCGTAGAGTTAGACGAGCAATTCCCAGGTATCGAATGGAATTTATCTCATCTTTATATCTTTTTAGTTGAACGAAAGGATCAGAAGATTGCCGCTTGCGAATGGTACAAGAAAGGGATTGACCATTTTCGGGTCAGTTTGTTTTAACCTTGCAATATATTTTCGCTTGTAGGATGCTCTTGGCGTACAGTTAATGAACATCCCAAATGATCGCAGGAAAGAAGCTTGTGAATTGCAAGAAAAAGTTAGGAAGAACATGCGCAAGGCTGAAGAACGATTTATAACACTTAGTAAGTGTTTTTTGAATTGTATTAATGTATAAATAGCAAACACGTACCTGGCAACGAAGCTTTCATCATCTGAGCCCAGACCAGGCACATCAACACCCCCTCAAACTCGTGCCCCTGCAGGAAGGAAGCCGGGAGCCATGGTGTCCTCGGTTGGTTATTGAAGACTTTGTTTCCTAGATAACTTTCTGAATTTCGTACTTTCGAATTACGATTGCGGGTTCTTTAGGATTCGCGGGGGGGAAAGTATTCCCGGGGGGAAACCAAATTTTTTTCGTCACAAGCCTAGATTTTTTTAGAAATTACGGGGGGGGGAAAGACCCAAAATGACCAAATTTTCGACTTTTTCAAACATTTTTCTGAAAGTTATTCTGCTTTAATTACAGTTAAAACTTACTAAAAACAATTGGAAAACACTTTATATTTGATTACTAGGTCACCCGGGACCACCAGGAAAAATATTGGTTTCCCACCCCCCCGGGAATACTTTCCCCCCGGGAATCCTAAAGAACCCGATTGCGCGTTTATTTACATTCTTGGCCCTTTTCAACAAAGTTCTCGTTCTAGCGAGCATTATTTTACTTTTGACGGCGTAAGAAAAACGAGTGAAAAACGAAAAATTCTGATGAACCTAAAGCATAGGGCCCCTTTAACCGAATCAAAGCTGTCGGTGGGTGAACTGGGGGACCTTTTCTCCAAACTCTGCTCTAACAACATGTTTTTCAGACAAAACCAAGAAGTGCAGCAGAGCTGCCCCGGAATCGCAGCGTTACTGATCGTCCTGACCGTAACGCCATGTTGCGAGGTTCTTTCCCTGTTTCGACACTCTTAATATTTGTCTAGGCGTCGACGCAAAATTTGGAAACCTGCTGCTCGACGATATGTTGGACAAAACGGGTGTTACGCTGAATGATGTTTACGGTATATTATTTTAACAAATCTATGACCGTTCTCAGGTTGTTATTCTGCTAAGCAAGCACTGGAAGAAGCCGTCATTTTTCCTGCGTTGAACCCATCCCTGTTCAGGTAACTTGTTTTCGATTCTGCAAGTATTCTTGCTTTAGTGGTTTGCGACGGCCGGTCAAAGGAATTCTGCTGTTCGGACCTCCTGGAAATGGGAAAACACTGCTCGCGAAAGCACTGGCAACCGAGTCAAATCAAACTTTTTTCAACATTTCGGCATCTGCTCTTACTTCTAAATGGGTAATTTTGAACCTACTTGACTGTTATCTAGTGAATTTTAGGTTGGAGACGCTGAGAAGACCGTGAAGGCGCTCTTCCAAATTGCCCGCAATGCCCAGCCATCGATCGTTTTTGTCGGTAATGAAAGCTTCTTCTATCTATGAAGAACTTATTTCAGATGAGATCGATTCAGTTCTCTGCGAGCGAAACGAGAAGGAAAGTGATGGAAGCCGTCGGTTGAAAACCGAATTTCTGATTCAGTTTGACGGCGCCTCAACGTCTGATGATGATCGGTAAATTTGGTACTGTGTTTAGTAATCTTTTTTAGGATACTAGTGATAGGTGCAACCAACCGACCACACGAACTTGACGATGCCATTCTCAGGTTGCGCGTTTTTTTCTTGAAATATTTGATTTTTAGACGTTTTCCGAAACGGATACTTCTTGGTTTGCCGGATGCGGTGGCCCGTGGAGCCGTCATTATGCACACCCTGAAAAAACACAACGAATCGTTAAGCGAGCCCAGCATCCGGTAAATGATTTTTCCCTTCTGAAACTGTCTTGTTCAGGCATATCGCCAAAATGACCGATGGTTATTCGAACTCTGACCTGGTAAACCTGTGCCGTGAGGCAGCAATGGTACCAGTGAGAAAGATGGGACGGGATCGGTTGCTTACAACGAACGAACACACAATTCGCAGTTTGCAGGTTTGATTGGTTCAACATTGGCGAACATTAGTTTTTTAGGTCTCCGACTTTGAAGAGGCCTTGCAAGTCATCAAGCCATCCACCAATCCGCATCAGCTCGAGTTGATGAAGACATTTGCCGCGCGATGTGGACAAGCGTAGCGCCAAAACGTAACCTCTTTTATTGCTCACGAGTCGTTTCTATCTCTTGTCAGTTTTCTCGGTGTTTGTCTTATTCACATACTTTACTTCCCTCGTCACGGAACTCCATTCCATAGTATAGGCGGCAGTGAAAAACTAGGCAAGTTCGCCGAAAAAGGGCTATGCGACGATGCTCTAACTTAAACTCTTGGTAAAAATGCCAGCTTCAACGCTTTATTTAAAGTAGGTTCGAAATTCAGTTTCTTTCGTGCTTCGCGCGAATTTGTTCTACAATAGTGGAAAATTGCCGTGTCTGTTTGAAAATTCACGTTCCTACACTGCCGCCGTACTATGAACTGCCAAATTTTAAGGCATTGCAGGAAAAACGGCAATTAGCAAATGTCGCACGGTTCGCAAGCTGTATTTATATGGGAATTCTCTTACGGTATCTGAAATTTGTTTCATTCCCATAGATAAAATTCCATCTACGGTTGTCCAAATAGCCTGTTTTTCTAGGGAGATGAAACCAAATTTTTGATACCGTAAGCGAGTGCCCATATAAATAAGCGTGCGAACCGTGCGACATTTGCTAATTGCCGTTTTCCTGCAATGCCTTAAAATTTATCTTAATGTGTCGTCCTGCAGGGGCGCCTGCAATTTGCCTTAAAATTTATCTTAATGTGCCGTCTTTTTTCGTCTTCGTTGCATTGCCTCTCTTTCGTCCTCTGTTTTGAGATTCATTTGTCGTGTTGCGTTCTAACTTATTTAGCTAGTCATTCCCCATCTAGCATCTCTTCCTGGTATATTCAATTGAAATAAATCGTTGTCGTTAACTATAGATGGCTTCACAAAGCGCTTCAGAGTTTTTTCAGCAATCCGGTAGTGTTTTTTGGAAGTGGAGGCCATCACCACGAAATCCAGCGGATGATTGATGGTTGGATCATCCAAGACCGTGATTCTAGTCCCTGTAATGGTGGGGGAAGCATGGTGAGCAAGGGGAGCTCCCGTTTCCTCGCCATTCGCAAGGCCAAAGTTTGACACCGCCCCTGACGTACAAAGAGCGCACCGCAGCCCGGGAAATCAGCACAAACTAGAGCCGTGCATTAGGGCATTTTACATTCCCCCTTTTTACAGCCAGAATCTCGTCTCCGATCCGAGCAAAAATATTGTCTCGCCTTTTCGTGAGCTTTCGATTGGTACGTAAATCATAATAATATTTTTTTGATTCTCTAATTTGGAAACACCCAATTTTTGGATACTTCTGGCTTTTTCTACACCCAGAAAAACGCAAAATTAAGTGCTTCTTTTGAGGTAGCCGTGAGAATCATCGACAAGGATAACCTGGACATTGAATCGCCCGAGCACATGATGCAAGAGGTCGTGCTCACGCTTGAAATTGAATATTCTTTGCCCTTGTCAGGTTCGCTGTATGAGGCTGGTGCAACATCCGGACATTGTCCGTCTCAGACAAAGCTTTACAAATTACCAGACTTGACACTCAGACAAAGCTCTTCCTCATTCTTGAGCTCGGCGACTACGGCATGCACGATTTCATCTTGAAGTACGAGGAAAAGGTGCGGGATTTCGTGCTCAAAAAAAACGGGTGAAAACCCCTGAAAATGCGTTTTTCCGGTTGCGGTTAATTAGCAGAATATTTTAGGGCTGCCCGAGCCACTCGCCCAACAATACTTCAGCCAAATTATCAAAGCCATCAGTTACTGCCACAAATTGCACGTCGTACATCGAGATCTCAAGGTGAGCAGAAATTAAGGCTATTCCTCAAGAATCTCTGTTGGAATGCCCACCGATCGAGCGAAATTTCTCTATCGGATCTTTCGCATTATCCGGGGAGGTTCTAAACAGTTTTTACTATTCCTGAAAGGTAAAAACTTTATAAGTTTTTATGCAATCATACAAAAAAAAATCGATTTTCGACCGCAAATGGCAGTTTTTTGCCAAAAATTTCGATTCTTATCCGAAATTTAGATTTTTTTAACATTTTCTTTATTATTGACTACGTGTAGGCTTGCCTTACGAAAAAACAGAGGTGAGTTTTTTAGTGCCCTACCCGCAAAAGTACTTGCACTCCCGCCACCACTTTCTAATCGGTTTCATGAATTTAAAAATTAAGAGAACGGCCTTTTCGACTTGGAAACTTTGAAAGAGTCTAAAGTTGTTGACTTTGACCAAAAAGCAAAAGGTTTTGCATGACTCGTTTGAAAATTTGGATATTTTTCTTTTTATCATCAAGAAAATGCCGTTTTTACAGATGATGGGAAAACGGCGGCATCCGAAAAGACACATCATTCGATGCAGAAAAAATTGGCGCATCTTTCTATGCCACTTCCAGGATGCCGCCGATTTCCCATTAAGTAGATAATCTTAAAAATACTGTTTTTAGTACGCTAAATTCCTATGTTCCAGCCATTTTCAGCTTTCGAAATGTATTAGAGAAATGATCTCCATCCCAAATTAGGTATTGTCACAATTTTTCAGCAAATTTGGTCCGGTAATTTTCGAGATAGGTTTTCGATGTCGGCAACTTTAACGGCCCTTTAAACCCCAAAAATCAACTTTTTAAACTTTCAAAACTATGCCACCCTACTAATTCGGCCAAGCTCTTTCAGATCGCATCATAAAAATAGAGTCGAAAAAAACTGTGCCAAGCCATAATGGGGGCAGGTCGGCTAGCTGGCGGACGGCCTTTTAAATTACTAAGCGAACCAAGCCAAACCAAGCGGGCTTTTGTCATACCCCCGAAATAATGCTGCCAGCTACCTGAAAAAACAACAACACCAGCGAGGAGCCATATCGGTTTGAAGCTAATGAAGCCACGTCTCTCTCACTCTCTCTCTCTCGCTCTCTCTCTCTCTCTCTCTCTCTCTCTCTCTCTCGGTCATATTCTGTCAAAACGCAGCCAAAATCCACCAAAATGGAGCAGATTTATTATCCATAGCTTGCTAGTATATACATGCCCCAATCGACGAGGTCGTCTCGAGGATAACATTCAGTGGAATCGGAAGACCAGCTCTCTTCGACAAATGGGACATTGGCATTTTGAATCAATTGATAATGGGCCATTGGAATTCTGACGTTTCTGAAGCGGTAGCTAATGGTATCGTTGACGGCTTCTGGTGGGAGGACGCAGACTGTTTTGAGTAGTTCCTCGATTTCGGCTAGGTCCTGCAAAGAATTTGGGTTAGGGCAGCCTAGCAGAGATCCTTGAGGGAAGGGGGCTAGTAGAGATTCTTGAGGAAAGGGGGCTAGCAGCCATTCTTGAGGAAAGGGGGGCTAGCAGAGATTCTTGAGGAAAAGGCAAACTAGCTAGCTAGCTTTACCTAGCTTTACCTACCGCTAAATTGTGGAGTGGAAATTGCACTTCGATGATGCGCCGCACGCCGTCTGGTGGTCGATTCTGGAAAGTCAATTAGTTTTCGAAGCGATCAGCCGATGGAATGCGTAGCAAAACGTACTCGCGATCTAGACCCACCTGACACGCCTTTTCCAACCAATAAATCGTCGCATCCACCAAAAATTCAAGGATCTCTGCTCCAAAAAAGAAGCAAAAGACGAAATGCCGGGTGGTGGGCAACTGAAATACGCTCTTTATAATTAAGGGAAGGCTCTTGAGTTCCTAAAGGATCTCTGCTAGTCTTTTCTTTCTTAAAGAATCTGTGCTAGCCTGCGCTTTATTAAAGCATCTCTGCTAGCCGCTTACCGCCCCCAGCACTTCATACAGCCAGGATGCATCGCAATTTGTCTGCAGCAGTATCACCTAAAGATATAAAGCCGTACAAAATCGCCGGGCTGAAAATATCAAAAATATTTTACGCGAGACTACGCAGAAGTCGATAAATTGTTAGCTGTGAATTACGCACAGCCGTCTCCGCCGTACAGCCACTCCATCGAAGCCAGGCAAGCTCGCGTTCGATGTTATGCGGGAAACTACTCATCGTGAACGCAACGGGCCGTTTTAGGAGGTCCAACGCTTCGATCGGCCACTAAAGTCGTCAAATTCCAAGCCACATAAGCCAAGCCTAAGTCGAACGATTCTCACCTCTACCAAATCGCGCCAACTATCCGGCCACGACTCGTACTTGTGAGACCAATTTTCATGGATATCGACGCTGAGCGCTTGTGGGCTCACATTAGCGAACAATTTGTTCAAGACCCGCAGTCCATTCTTCATAGGCACCTCGATTTACCATATTTCCGAGTACCGATTCTGGCCCTGCCTAAATCTACGCATCATCAGCATCGCATAAGAGAGTTCTTGAAATACTTCAATAAAATCTATGTAATTGGCTTCAAAACATGGTTTTTACAAGGCATTTGTAGAATTATGTTTAGAAAATCCAAAAAAACTTACAAGTATTTCGAAAATGGTGATTTGGTTCTTTAGGATTTCCGGGGGAAAGTATTTCCGGGGAAGTATTTCCGGGGGGAAGTATTTCCGGGGGAACCAAATTTTTCCTGGTTTTCCCGGTCGACCTAGTAATCAAATAGAAAGTGTTTTCACATTGTTTTTAGTAAATTTTAACTATATTTAAAGTAGAAAAACCTTTCAAAAAAGTTAGAAAAATGTTTGAAAAAGTCGAAAATTGGTCATTTTGGGTCTTTCCCCCGCTAATCCTAAAGGTTCTATAGGATTTTTCGACCTAAAATTAAATTTTTTAATTAAAATGTGGGTAGTTTTTATGCTCAGGAATAGTTCAAAAACCATTTAGAAACGCATGCGCTATTTAGAAAAAAATTTAGGCTTGGGCCGAAAAAATTTGGTTTCCCAGAAATACTTCCCCGGAAATCCTAAAGAACCGGTGATTTTTTTGTTCAAAAATGCAACATTAAATACGGTCAATATAGGCAAAATGGGTTTAGGTGATACGGGTTTTAGGCGAAACGGGTTTAGGTGCAGTGGGTTTAGGGGTTTAGACGGAGTGGGTTTAGGCGAACTGGCCGTCACCCATATAAAAGTAACCAGGGTTGAAAATTCGCTTCGCTATGCTAATCGTTTCTAACAAAGAGGGCGACCGATTTTTCAACAAAAACCTAATTTTATTATTTAATGGCGAAAAAACATATTGTCGAGATATTATATGTGTGCAGTCATCGCTGAGCGGATAGTCAAACTAGTCAAACATGAATGACATTTCATACATATCCTAAAAACCTTCCCTTGTTGAGATACCACTGGAACACGCTGACGGAAGCTGCATGCAAAGTCCCACACACAGACACTATTTTTTATATATAGTAGGCTATCGTAATCGGAGGTGATGGAAAAGAATGTAGAATCGTGATAAGACGTACCCCGCACCGCTCAACACATCCCCGGATCCACAAGCCATGAAGCGAAGAATCGAGAGGTCAGAACCAGGCTGGTAACCGTTGGTCCATTCAATGTCGATTACGTCACTTGTGCTGTCACAGTCGATGTGGGGAGCGATTCCCTGAAATTTGCATTTGCTACGAAGGAATCGCTGTTAGCCTACCCTTTCCTAAAGAATCTCTGCTAGCCTGCCCTTTCCTAAAGAATCCCCCCACTAGCCTTCTTTTCTCCAAATCTTGCAATCTCTACCATTGGATCCATCGAGAGGCAGATGTGCCGAATTTTGCGACAAGTTGCAACCATCGTCGAATTTCCAACCATTGTTCGCTGCTAAATATTTCCTTATTCATAAATCTTGTTACCATCTTTAAAACAGATGGGGCCAAAAACCGACCTTGGTGGCTCTTAGCAGCCATGTTTTTTCCATAAAGCCCAGATGGGCATGGGCTGCTCTCTGCAGGTGGATCGGAAGTTTCATGAAAGGAAACGTCATCGTGATGAACAGGCGGCTCCCTAAAAACGCAATCGTTTCGAAAGGCCACCTTATCTGTTATCCGAATGCGGGAAAAGGGGCGATCGCCTTAGGCGATGCCCCATTACAGGACAGAAGATTCCCAGTCATTTCACAGAAAGTCACTTCCATTTTCTCGGTTCTCCCTTGCACAATCCATTCCGTCGTTATCAACATTAGATCGCCACTGACACCCGGAGATTGAGCACCCCATTTTACTTTTATCGCCTGAAAGCCTAAAAGTTCTAAAATACCCTTTTCTCCATTCCGCCATCTCTTTTCTGGGTACTCGACGCTTTCTAGCTTTGGTTCCCCGTTGAACAACGATCCATTCTTTACAAGCAAAAGCTTCTCCAAACTTTTCACTGCCTCGCATTTCATAATAGTTCATTTTGTCGTAACTTTTATCCTCTTTCCACAAGGATGAAAAGCCATCTATTAAAAAAAACAAATTATCGTAACGTTTCCATACTCCCCTAATATCAATCGCTATTCCGTTCAATTTGTATATTGTGATTTCGCGCTTTAATTCGACAAACATATTGAACTGGTTGACAGAGTTGCAGTTTGAAGACGACGTACAAAAAAATCTTTATTGCAATCCCACAAATGCACACAAAAGAAAGATCCAATGTAACATGGTTCCGAAAGGTACAGATCATATAATGGACAAGTAATAGGAGAGGGGAAAGGTAAAATAAGCTTCAAAGGGGTCGAGTTGAGGGCGGCATTATCCGGCGTTGTCCTTGTCTTTGGCCTTGCTGATGATGGCCATGCCGAGGGACTTCTCACCCTCTTCTAGGAACTTTTGCATCAGCTTTGCGTCGTCGGCCGCCACGTCTTTGGCTTTAATCTAAAAAAGCGGATTCAGGGGGAATGGCTTCAAAACGGACAAGAAAACGAAATTTCACGATGTCGAAAGAACCGCTTTTCCGGAAAAACAGCCAAATTACAAAAATTTCGACAATGTAATGTAAGCCGACAAACCCGGATGTAGTCCATGACGACGGCGAACACGTACAGCCACTGTTGCTCAGTCTGCACGGAGCATGCACGCTGGTCGCGCAGCTTCTTGAACACGTCGGTCGCCTGAAAAATGTGGGTTTCAAAACAAAATAATAACTCACATCGACTTTCTGGTTGGCAAAGAGCGCCGACTTGATCCAGTGGACGAGCATGATGGCCCCGGTGCGCCCCGCTCCAGCCGAGCAGTGCAGCACCGTGTTGCCCGGGTTCAAGGCGTCGCCGTCCTTCTCCAGAGCCCGGATGATGCGCAACGACTTCTTCGTGTTATTCGGTACGCCGTGATCCGGCCATTCCGGCATCTGGATCATCCTAAAACAAAAAAAATAAGACAAGCAAAACGCGTGTCTCTACCGAATGATGCGACTATTCGAGCACCCGTCCGGCAACAACTCGATGATCAACTGGTTGCACTTGTTGTCCGCGTTCGCGTCCTTCTTTTTGTTGTTGACAAAGAAGCGGCCGTGGTTCTGGTAGCCGCCCGGCTGCTCGGGCCAATAGGCTGCGCACTAAATTTAGGTCATTAGTCGATGCAACATTTGTACCTTGTTCTTGCCGTCCTCAACGACGCGGCACAACTGAACAATGTTCACCACTTCGTGGTCCCAGCACATGCGCCAAAAGTCGACGATCGTGTTGTCGAGCGGGCCCTGGGTGGCGATGAACGTCTCGCGGCCCTCGAGCTGGAAAAAAAATGGTTCGTAAAAATAAGAAATCAGCTTCGTCGGTCCTGGGCTGTTAGCAGGAAGAAAACGATTTTCCCCCCAGTAATCCTGACGGACCTGGCACAAAATATAAGCCATTTTAGGGCATTTTTACACTGCTTTAAATATATAAGCTTCATAAAGACTACTAAAAATTCTGACTTTTTGCTCCAAGATTTATGTAAAATTACCAAAATTGGCCAAAAATTCGAATCTTCAAAAATGTTTAGCATATTTTTGTAACTTTCTAACAATCAAAAATTATGAAAATATTGTAAAAATAAAACATTATTGTTAATAGGTCGGTGTACACCGAAAAAAAATCCATATGCCCCCTGATAACAGTCCAGTACCGCTTTCTCACCTTGCACCAATTCGCGTGAATGTAATCGTCTTCTCCCTCGACTTCGACATTCAACTTGACTCGAGTGGCATCGATGCACGGGATGTCTTTGTATCGATTCTTGTCGCCGTGGGCTGTGAAGGCTGTCGTCGTGGCATTCGGGGTCGTGTACGCCTTCAGCTCGTTCCAGGTCGCCGATAGCCCGGCGAATCCTGCAAAAGCGGGCAATACCTGCTAAAAAAAGAATCTACCGCCGGCGCACGTCTTCTGCACAAAGTCCTTCATCGCGTCGTTGTACTCGACTTGGGCCTTCTCGTTTTCCTTCTTCTTCACCAGTTTTTCGCCGCCCTCTTTGCGCTCTAGAAAAAAATGTAATAAAAGAACAATAAGCTTAGAAGAAAGGCACGTAGCTTTAAAAAGGTAAGACTGCAGATAATCCTCCACCCCGCTTACCCAGCCGCTTTTATTTCGGCCCTCCATTGGCCTACAGGGGTGTAAAGTATACCAAAATGTTTGTCTTGATATGGCGAGTCTTTTGGTATCATTTACAGTCCCCGTAGAGGAACGTAGAGCCGAGATACTGTAGGTGAACTCGGGAGGGGGGGTGGGGGAGATTTCTCCAGTTTGGCGTGAAAAAGACCTACGAGGTTCCCTTGACATATCCCTGGAGCCCTTCTTTTTCTTCCTTCTCTCGATTGAGCCGCTGAGTTCATCCTTCTTCTTCTTCTTCTTCAGCGAGTCGGGATTCGCGATCGGCATCTCGGCTGATTGTAGAAGCGGTACGACGAGTCGCGCTGCTCATTTTCATACCTAAATATTCATGTAAATGACCGGAAATCCTTTTAGAAAAAGAGGCAAAACAGAGATTCAAATAAGCAACTGTGTAAAAGCAGAAATTGGCAATTCCTGGAACAGCCATCGATATAAAGATCTAAAAAGTTAAAAAGTCAACGTTTTAGCGTTTCTCGCGTTTCTTTTTATGGCGAAAAATTGTTGCGGAAAAGTCAGCTTAGCAAAAACCTGATAGAAAGGAGGCGAAACCCGTCAATCTGAAGCTGGAAATAAATAAAATAATTTGCATCGACTTTTCAAATACCCCCAGAATTTCTCCTTTCATTTACACAACCCGCCGCGATGAATTTCGGCCCATATCAGACGCTGATCACGGTAGTGCAACGTCTGGGTAACCTAAGAAACCGGATTCAGACACCCGACGATGTCACCCAGGACACGTTCATCTACCTTCTCATCTGGCTGCTCCTCGCCACGTCGACGATGATCTGTTTTGTGTGGACATTTCCCGCTCAACAACGGCAGCCGCCGTTGGATCTGGGGGCGATTAGGCCGCTTGATAGTCGAGTAGGTGCTTATTCTACGATTTAAAATATCTAAGAAGAAGTTAAGGTTTAATTGTCATAAAATAAGCAAAATTTTACCTGATTTTAGTACCCCCAATCGGTGCCCTACCAACTGGACAGCCTGGCCGGCGATGGGCGACCCGTTCCGCCCCGGAAATGGCTTGACGAGAAGGACATTGCCTTTCTGAAGCACAACATGCCCTCCACCCCCATTCGTCACTTCATTCCCACCAAGGACGAGGCGTTGCTGCTCTACAGGGCCGCCGCCCCGCGCGCCCCACAATTCTACGGCCACCAGAAGACGCTCTTCGATGAACGCTTCGGGGGTTGGGGCTTCAGCAATAGAATATACAATTTGTATTTTTTAGTTTCTTTCCACTTTCTATACCTGAAAACGGCTTGAAAAACTACAGAGATTATGTAAATTGCTGTATTGGAACCGTACAAGGCGATAGCCCCAAATTCCCCCTCCCCCCCCCGCTAACAGTTTAGAACCGAATTTCAACCCCAATGCATCTTTCAGTTGCGGCAAAGACGAGCAAGGAAAGCAGAGAATCCGGGCAGGGCGGCACGCCGAAAAAGAAGAAGTCCAAAAAGTCTGCATGGGATCAGCTGAGCGCCGTGGCCAAGACATCATCGCAGGCGCTGCTCAGCCGAAACCGGAAGCCGGCCGTTGATCCCGCTGCCGCTGATTAAGGCCCTCTAACGAATTTTGATTTTTATTGTATGGAGACATTCTTGATTGCATAAACATGTTTATTTACTTTGCCTTTTCTGCTATTCACAGTTGCATCTTGCAAATGATTCCCGTGGTGTCGGTGCTGGAGCACGACAGTCCCGAAGTGCCAATGCTTCCCCGCCAACTGCTTTCGCTAATTGGGGAAATCTGAAGGGGTTTTTGACAGTTTTCTTATCCTTTTAAGAACGTAAATTACCATACAGCCAGCGCCCTCTGTGCATTGGCTCTGCAGCGATTCCGGACCCGCCGCAATAACCAGGGGCGTCATCGTCGAGCCGCCGGGAGATCCGGCAAAATACTGACGCTTCCGGCGTGTCATCTGCAAGAGTTTGTCTGGGTTTCCGGTGTAACCGGTGGTGGGCTACAACGGCTTTTTTGGTTAATAATGTTTGAAAAATGACCAAAAAAGGCCATTTTTAGGCTCGCAAAGCATTTAAAATCGTTATTATGACTTCTAAGCTATCAATAAACTACAAAAACTACTTTCAATTTAGGTTTTTGCGCATCTAGGCGATGATATGAAGAAAATTGTAGAATGTGAGAAAATTAGGTAGGATGATAAAAATTAGCTCCACCCCGCTAAGCTACAAGCACCGTACCAGCTTTAAAACTGAGCTACCATCATATCCATTCCCATGACAATCGTCGAATTATCGGTCCATTGCCACGTTCCGCCACTGCACGTCAGCCCGGTCCAGTAGCTCACATCCTCCCCCGCCTCGCTTACCATTCCTGGAACAACTCGTTGAAAAGCATCAAAAAACGGTTCTGTCGGTTACGGTTATTTTGGCAAAAACTGCCAATTTTTGGTCGAAAATCAATATTTTCGATGTTTTACAGTTTGCTGGCTTCGGAATAGTAGACAACCGTTTAGAAACACTTCCTCTATTTATATTTGGAAAAACAAGTCCTAGGAAAAAGTTGGTCCCCCCGATAATGCAAAAGAGCCAAAAAAACTACCAAGCACAGCCAACAACTCGGAGATGCCGGTGATCGAAACAAGATTCCCGCCGGCGCCTTGGCAGATCGACTCGGCTTGTTCTTGGGTGATAGACTCGGAGTAGTTTGCCGCCTAAAAAAATTCGTCTTCTAAAAACATCATCTACCGCATAACATGCATTTGACGAGGCCAGGTATGACCAGCCGGGATCGCAGGAACCTAAAACGGAAAAACTAGGATATGACATTGTAAAGCTTACGAGTCATCGGGCTTGTACAAATCCCGGCAGCCGTTGTTGCCGCATCAGCAAGGTATAAATGCCCATTTCCACGTAGCAACACGCGAACATCCAGTGTTTTTGTCGTGTCCAGCCCTAAAGAAAAGATCAGGTCCGAAACTGACTTTTACCATCATAAAGTCGCTGCTGGCAATCTTCCCCATAGGTTTTGTTCAAATAATCAGGCTTCAGGTATGAATGCTGAACGTAATAACGTTTCAATTTAAACTTAACTTAAACAAAATACCATACTAAAATAGTACTACTTTACTTAAACTTAAACTTTTAACTAGCAGCATTTGTATCATCTTTGACATACAAAAACGTTGACGAATGAAGTGACGAGCTGCCGGTCCCTTTCCGGTTCAGCCGATACCGCATTCACACTCTCGATACCGCACGTCATTTGGGCGATGTATTTACTGAGTTTTACAGTTAATAGCTTTAGTTAATATAAGAGTTTTTAAAAGTTCAAGATCCTCAAAAATGCGCTTTTCAGGAAGCAGCCTCAACCTACTCGCAAGGTGTATCGCTGTCTGCCTGCTGGGTACAGTTATTCATCTGTTTGCCAAAACCGGCGACGTTTTGCGAGCAGAATGGATAGATGCCATATACTAAATGTAGATCTTTCTTAACTTTTCAACGTTGACAACATACCTTGATGCTTCCGCCCAGCCTCCTCACCAGTACTGGCGAATTGCAAGCTCCCTTGCTCTTCAAGAATCCCGATCCAAGCATAGCGGGCTTGACTATCTAAATATTCTGGTTTTCATAATCAAGCCAATTCTACAATTCTGCATCATTTGCCCGATCAGTTTGTCATCGTAGGTGTCGATCGGCTCATAGAGGGTAGCGCCCTTGTCAGAGCAGGCCTGCTGAGCATCACCGAAAGAAAGTTCTAACTCTATAATTAGGGAAAACTCAAGCTAACTGCGTACCGTCCGTAAAGCTTATACAGTACTGACGACCAGGCACCTGAAGGGTACCCTGTGGGCAAGTTGCATCACCATTTACGGCCACCAGTAGCACGACAAATAGCAATAGTCGAAACGGCATCTCACAATTCTGGCACCGCACTTCCGAGTGTCCCGCTCGAACATTTTTCGCTTTTCGCAACCCCGACCGGCAGTGCGGCCGGGTAATTGGGTGTATCAACGAGCGCTAATCCCTGTGAGCTATATGCGCTAATACGGTGAAGTGGGGGGTTCGTTTTATCAACGCATGCATTAAAATCGCAAAAACAAACGTACAAATTCACAAATTCACAGTAGGAGATGGCACAGAAAAGGAAACCATAAATCATAAAGGGCGACGCTGACGGAGCCTGACGCGGATGCCTTCCGCCGGACGCAGGATGAGCTCCATTTTGTGCGAGACGTCGCATCTTCGGTCAACGCTTTCTAGAATGGGAGCGATATTGAGGTCTCAAATAAGGTACTATTCGTTAGCGGGAGGGGGGGCTGGCGGCGGGGGAGATAACCAAGGGCCTTAACTTTAGAAAAACTTTAATACCACAGCAAAAGTTCAATATTAATTAGACCACAATCAGAATCCACAAAAATCTTACCGATATCGAAGTAGTGGAGCAACCAAGCGAGAACCGTCTTCATCTCCATGTAGGCGAAGCGCTGCCCAATGCAATTTCGACTGCCAGCAGAGAAGGGGATGAGAGCAAACGCGTGGCGGTTGACGGAATTTTCGGGTAAGAACCTACGATTAAATACGAAATAAAAGTTAAAGCGAAAAGACGAACCTATCAGGATCAAACTTCTCGGGTTCGGGCCACTGGGCGGGATCGCGGTGGATGAGGTATGGGTTGAGGATGATTTGCATTCCAGCAGGTATTTTACGGCCAGCGAGCTCCTAAAAGTCACGTTTCTCGAAAAACCATAAATTACCTGATCCGATCCGAGCTCTCGCATGATGGTGGGCACAGATGGGTACAAGCGGAGGGTCTCCTTGATGCATCGTTCCAGATAGTCAAGCTTTGACAAGGCTGTTGCGTTCACCTCTCCGTATTCCGCAAAAACCTGAAACATTGAATATTACAATGACAACGCAGAGGTATTTGTAACAGATTTTTGCACACACCATGTCGACCTCCAATTGCGCTTGGTGGAGAATGTCCGGGTGGTTGCCGAGGAGATGGGCAGCCCAAGAAAGGGCGGTAGACGTTGTGTCGTGGCCTTCAAACATAAATGTGTCAACCTAAATTAGGTTTGATGCCAGGCTCAGAAAGAAACCTCGGCCTGGATGTCGCCGTGATCAATTTGCCCTTGGTGGGCCATGTCAAGTAGAAGATCAAGGAAGGCCAGGCGTCCCTCCAGTTGCCATTCGGCGGCTTCTAGCTCTCTTTCACGTTGTGCGATAACCTAGGTAAAAGTAAAAAAGGAAAACCTCTAGCAAACCTGTCCAGTGAACCCGTGAAGTGTCGCCAGGCAAGCATCGTGCGCCTTGCCCTCCCCAAACGTGTCGAACGCCCACTTATTCCACATCAGCGGATTCTTTGTCCGAGTTTGCACAATGTCATTGATTTCATAAACCGCCTACAAAATCAAGTTTTTTCAACCCAAAAAGACAAACAAACCTTAACATACTGACTGTTAGCTTCAATTTGTGCATTCACGCGTTTGCCCATCGAGGTCTCGCAAATAATGTCCAGAGCGCACAGGGTGACGTAGGAGCAGAAGTCGATGCATTCGCTAAACAACAGTTAACTCAGAGCGGCAATTCTCTACCCTTTCGGGACAGTGGCCAGCTTCTTGACGAGAGTAAGTGAATGCTCATTGAAAACCGGAACAAAATCCTTCAATATGTCATAATGGAATGTCGGTGTCAACAGCTTGCGTTTCGGGCGCCAGCGTTCGGCATTACTGAAAATAATTTTAATCGAGATAAAGAGCCGCACCTGGTCAGTAGAGAAAGCCCCAGCCATGGCTCTAGCAAATTGTAGGCGAATCCCTTGTTGAGGTGTTTGCTCGAGCAGACGATTCGTTCAGCCAATTCCGCCGAATAGATCATAAGCGCCGGCTTGGGGCCGATCCAGAAGAGCACCATCCGGGAATCCGTCGGGTAAAGCTGACCCATACCCATAATCTAAGAGGAAGTAACAAGATATAGGAAAAGTAAACCTGATCCATGAAACCCTCAGCATCCGGCTTGATGATCAACGCCTGACCGATGAGCGGGTAGGAACGGGGGCTGTGGATTCCTGGAACTGAAATGGTATCAGACAGTAAAGAAGCTACCGGCTAATTGGCGTCGCAGCGCGAGGTGCTTGATGAAGAAGAAGAGGGCGAGCAGAAATAACGACATCACCGCTATCACTACTACGTAGCCCATCTTGGCCACGAAAATCGATGTGGTTACCTGGAAAATAGACCTGTATGAAATTCGAGAAATATACGAAAAAACAGTATTTATGTCGAAAAACTGTAAAAAAATTTACAAAAAGCCAGAAGTGACTTTGCTGTTTTCCTCGCTAAAAATAAAAATCTGAAGGTTTCGACGTCGTCTCCGTTCCGTTGCGCGCCCCATTACGGCCGGCGTTGTTTGTCAATTTGCGTATGCTGCCTTTTACTGTCGTAATTAGAACGCAACAAAATTTTGGAATTTTTCTCTGAAAGAAATCTTTAAAAATAAAAAATATAATTGTAAAAAATTTCCTAAAACCAAAATTTGATGCTAGTCATCGGCGCTCTTCCGAGTTTTTTTCTGCAGGGAAAGTAGGGGATCGATTTGATTTCTTGTTGATGTGATTCCTGTTTTGATGGTGGTTTTTGTCTAGACAGACACAAAACTTTATTCATAAATACATAAATTTTGGCTAAGGATCGCCCATACGTCAAATGAGATCAAGTAGATAAAGCTTAAAGAAGCTCGTCATTCAGCATCCGCCTCCGCCGTCTTCAGCTCGATGTAATCGCAGTGAAGCTTTTCGCGTAGAACTTCATAGATTATATCGTGCCTGAAAAGGGCTTCTTAGTTTTAACAACCCCTTGATAAACGTTAGGGATTTTAGTGCTCATTGGTTGCTTTCAATAATGATATGATTGACGAACCTCTCCTCTCGCGAATAGATTCCTATTTCAAGCAAATCCTGCTCCGTCATTTCCACCAATACTCGACCCGTGATTCGATGCCGAATAAAGCAAAATGCATATTTTAAAGCCAACTTTGGGCGTCGGCGTTTCAGCCAGTCATGAATATCTGAAACCGGATAATCATTATCGAGCTGTTTTTGCAAACCTTCTGACGTCCAGAATTGAATGGGTCTCTGCTTGACGACGTGAAATACCTCCTGTATCTCGGCAATACTCATATATAAAACTGGACCGGAATTACTCGGCGAGTCAAAACCCTTTTGCAGGAGGAAGAGCGGAAAGAGAGGAGCCCCCGCCCGGCTATAGACTACGCGATTTCGCTTGCCGAGTCTGGCAATTCGAACGAGAACACGGAGCGAAGGTCGTCTTCCCCACATGACAACGATAATCTGAAGGAATTCTTTCAATTCTTGGTGCATACGGCTGGGCAAAGCTCGTCGAAAATGAGCGCTGCCGTCCCGCGCCAGGCCACGATTTTCGATCCTTTCCAGGTATTTTTTATTTTGTGTTGTAAATCTCAACCTGTTCTTAGGATGGAAATATTGTCTTGGAATTCGAGACGTCAGATAGTTTGCCGATGGGGACCACTTTTTCCGACTACTGTTCGAGATCCGTGAGGTAATAATCTACGATAAATGCCGAAAACGATTCATCAAAGTTTATCGCATGACGCACGCTCGACCTACTGAGCATTTCGACCTCGATTCGATCTTTTTCGGCAACTTATCGGGCGTCATAGATTTTGCGAAATTAGCTTTAAAAATGGATTTTCCTAATTGTTTTGTTTTCAAGACAATCTTTTCAGGAGCTTTCTGTTGGGCTACATTGGCGAAGAATTAGCGATATGGCTAGATGCGCTACAGCAAATCAACCTCACTCGCCCACAACTTATGCTAGCCATCCACGAGAAAGTTCTGGCGATTCAACGGACAGTTGAGGAGGTTTGGCATTATCATACTCAGTTTTATAAGGCCTTTCTAGCTTCTGACGGCGCTTTGTGGCGATCGACCGGACATCACGAAGAAGATTCGGGCGCATTGTCTGGAATGGATTTTTACGGGAAAGGCTCTGGGAGTGTTCAGCCACTGTTTGGTGGGTCGTGTGCTTTTGACTAAATTGTTTTTCAGGGCTCTATGTTCGCTTTTTCGATAGTGTTGTTTTGTCAAGCCGCACTGGAAGGGGATCGAGGTGAGGAAGAAGCTCTATTTTCTAAACCATCGTTTAGCAATTCGGGACGCAGCCGATGAAAGCTTGAAAGTCATCAGCGATATGTAAGGGACTCAAAACTTTAGGTAGATGTTTCTTTCGTCGTTTAGAAAAGCGTTCGTGGGCAACTACCGGAAAGAGCTTTCTGAGGAGGAACTCCGGATGGGTGATCCGTTTTTTCAGCCAATCATCTCGGCGGCATTTTATGCATACTTTGAGGTATTTGGGTTATTGATCGCTTCTTTATACATCATTATTTAGCGCATCGTCAAGGACAACACGCAGAATACAGCATGCCCACCTGACTTTCGCAAAATGGAAAAGGTACGGTAAAAGCCTTTTTTTCTACAATCAGCTTTCTTGCAGGCGGCCAGCATTGCCGGTGACTGGCTGAGTGGAATTCCTATAAGGACGACCCCGGGGCTAAAAGATGAGCTCAGTGTATTTTTCGAAACAAAATACGTGGATCAGTTTATTGAGAAGGTATGCGTCAATCTTTTGTTGAATCTATTCCATCAGATTTATGACATCACCATCAATGGAGACCAAAACTCGGCCGAGCTGATAGATGTGCTATCGACATTTATGCAACGAAATAATGGGTTCGAATTTCTTGGTTTTTTGATCGTGTTTTAGATATGGCCGCGATCGGATAATCAAACAATTGGTGACCGATGTGCAAGCTAATTTGCTGAAAATTAGTAATGCCATTTCTGAATGCTTATTCGTGGTTTAGACGCATCGACTCCGCTGATTTTGACGTCTTACGCAAACGCGGTTACGGCTCTTCGTCGTCTCGATCCCTCCGGCTTCATCATGCAAATCGTCTGCGGAAAAATCAAAGATTACCTAAAGTGAGCCTGTCGACTTTGATGTTTAACTTCTTTCAGGCAACACCGCGCCGACACCGTACGCCAGATAATTTCGTTCATCACCAAGGCTGGGCACCGCTTCAACGAGCAAATGGTCGGTGCTTGATTTTCTGGAAAAGTTTTGTTCTATCGGCGGGGTAGGCGGGGGGGGGGGTGCGAAATTTGGGCTATCAACCGAGGAAAATTGATATCTGCTCAAGGCGCCACATTCTTAAAATTTTCTAAAAAAGTTTTGTATCCCCAGAAACTACTAAAAATGCTAAATGCTAAATACACCATAAAACGCGAAATTTTTGAAAGCTATTTTAAAGCCAATTTTAGGAGCGTTGCGTGATTATTGATGACGAAGACGCAGCTAATGTCAACGACGAGTTTCTGGATGAGGAGGACATTAGAAAGAACTGGCGCCAATGGCATCCAGATCCGCCTGATGCTTTGCTCAGTAATTTTTAGTTTTATTAAAAACTAAAAACGATTGCGTTAGGTAAATACCGCGTCAAAAGATCAGCTGACGTCTTCACAATGCTCGTCTCAATCTATGGCAGCAAAGATTCGTTTGTGAAAGAATATCGTCAGCTACTTGCCGAGCGGTTGACACAGGCTGCCTACAAAGATGTATGCAGGGTTTTTGAAACCAATTTTATCTTATTTATTTAGCCCGGCTTCGAGTCGCGCTACCTGAGCCTACTTCGTCTCCGTTTCACCGAAGCCGAGCTGCAACAATGCGAGGTCATGCTAAAGGATATCAGCGACAGCGAGAAAATGATGCAATTTGTGTTACGCCAAAATGAACTGGTTTGCGCCGTCGTTTGATATTCATTCTTATTCTTTTAGCAATTTCCACTGAGCGTACGAGCAATCTCCACCTACTTTTGGCCGGATATGAACAAGGATAAAGTCACGGTAAAGGCTGATAGAAATTTTTTTACGTCTTTTCAGCTTTTTCCCGACGTGATCGAAACTCAGTTGACGGTTTTCGAGAAGGAATTCCAAAAGATGAAGCCGGATCGGAGGATTTTATGGCTTCGCGCTGCCGGGTAATTTTATTTAGTTTTTAAAACAAATTTTTTAGATGCGTCGAGCTGCGACTCACCCTCGACGGCGTCGAGTTTGAAAAAGTTGTAACGAATGCCACGGCTTCGGTGCTCTACCCATTTTTGGAACAAGGTAAATTTCTCAGTTTATTGATCTTATCTTCCTCTAGAAACCTGGACCACTGGCCAATTGGTCGATACGCTGAAGGTGTCACGAAGCGCTATTCTGAAGCGCCTCGGCTTCTGGCAGTCACAGGTAGAAAATTAATTCTACACTTCTTGTATACCGATTGTATTCAGCGGATTCTCGTGCACACCGGAGAGGATACGTGGTCCCTTACTACCCAAACGAAAGATATCGATCGGTTACAGGTGAATTTAGCTTTTTTACGTCATCTACCCTGTTTTTTTCAGTACGCTGAGCAAGACGAGGAGGAGGATGAGGATTTAGAAGATCCGGACAGCGAACGGGCTGATGGGGGTGGCCCAATGGAGGAGCTCGAGCAGTACTGGAACTACACAAGAACATTTATTGTGGGTTGGCGTGGAACAGAGGACAATTCTTGTTTGAAAAAGGATGCTTATGAGAACTCGAGATTCAGATAATTTGGTTTTTCGAATTTTAATTTTCGTATTCCGACATTTTGACTGATTTGATAGATTCGTGACTTTCACAATGTTTTTAGGGAAGCCAAGAAGGCAAAGAAATGAAAGCCGAGCGTCTCTTCGGCATCTACAAAATGTTTGGCATCCAATCGTTGACGCTGGAACAGGTTTGGCAGTCTCTGGCTCCCTAGATTCGATATATCTTCTAGGTGGTCGCATTTTTGAAGAAGAAGGTGCGTGAGAATCTGCTCACCTGCAACAACGGCTTCTATCGCGTCGTCACCGATCCGACGGCTGCTTGAAAAAGCTTTCTAAATCGGGTTTTCTTTTGGGTATCTGTCTCAATCTCAATTTGTATCTCACCGTGTTTCTATTACCTTTTAATGTTGTCATTTTTGTTCAATAAAGTATATGGTACAATTTTCCGTGTTTTTTAGAGATCTCGACTGTAGTTAGACAGCTAATATATTTTCCTTTGTTGCTGTATATAGTCTTTATGAATGCGTATCAAGGCCTAGAATAGCTCTGTGAATGGGAACCGTCGATGTGACGAAGTTACTGCGTACCGCGGTGAGTAACAATTAAGAAATTTCATAAAGTAGCTATTCTATTACATAAACAAAACTATTTAACGGATTTTTTGTAATGGTTGAATTGTTTTTTAATTTATATAAACATTAAATTTCATAAAGTCCGCTTACTCGCCTAAAATATCTTTTTTTTTCAGCCAGTCCGAGGGTTTCTACTTGATATTACGGGTGTTCTGTACAATAGCTCTGAAGGGAGCGACGGGGTAACTATCCAGGGATCGGTCGACGCCGTTGCGAGGTAGGGATTTTGTTTCTTGCAATACAATTCCTTTTTAGGTTGTATAAGGAGTCTCGGGTTCGCTTCCTCAGCAATGAGAGCACACATACAACGGAGAAGGTTGTCGCCAAGCTGCGCCGACTTGGTTTTACACTTGAGGTAAATTTGAGTCCGCAAAAAAAAAGACTTTTTTAAGGAATCTGATGTCATCACACCGGCCCCGGTAGCTGCTGATTATTTGCGGCAACGTGAGCTGAGACCGCATCTGCTGCTTCATCCTGGTATGATTCTTATACGATGCTTATAATACGAATTCCCCCAGGTGTTTCTTCCTATTTCCCGACCAGCTCCCCCGATGCGAACTGTGTACTGCTCGGCGACGCGGAGCACGAATTTTCTTTTCACAACGTCAACGAGGCCTTCCGGGCGTTGATGAGGATGAAGAAGCCGCTGCTGGTCACACTGGGACAAGGGTACGTTTTTTTTGAGTATTTTTATCTTTCTTTAGAAAATTCTACCAGCGGACCGACGGGCCAACGATTGATGTGGGCGCATATGCGGAAGCGCTGAAATATTCATCCGGTATTTTTGCTCAGACTTTGTTAAGGATAATTTTAGGATGTGATCATGTGGTTATCGGGAAGCCATCTGCCGAATATTTTCAATATGCGATTGACGCAATTGGGGTTCCAGCAACGGAGGTAGATCTTTTTTTTGTTGTCGAGGTTCTGGTTCTTAGCGAGAGTGCGATCTTTTGCTATCTTCCTATACGACCAAAAAGGCGCCTTTTAAACAGAATTTTGCGAGCTTTTTATAGATGAAGAGTTTCTGGAAACTATGAACATTTTCCAAAAAATTCGACTTGGTGAGGCAAATTAGAAATTTTTTAATTTTCTATTTAAAAATTTTTCAACTTTTGAGTAATCGCAAACGTAAAAAAATTGCGAAAACGCGATTAAAATACATTATTTATTATTATGATTATTAATATTACCGGCGTTTGGCTGAATGATGAAGTTAGCCCCCCCCCCGCTAACGACACAGCCCGACAATTAAAAGTTTATTTTAGACTGTGATGATTGGCGATGATCTTATCTCAGACGTCGGCGGGGCTCAGCGTTTCGGGATGCGCGGGATCCAGGTTCGCACCGGAAAGTGGAGGTAAGATTTTGGTACTAGCTTCATTGGCTTCTCGCAGGCCGGAATGGGAGCATCACCCTACCGTCAGCCCCGACCTGATCGTCAACAATCTGGCTGCGGCTGTGAATTCGATCCTCGACGCGCAACAGCAGCGGGGAGTACAAAACCACGTGTAATAACTGTTTTTGCATTTTTTTGGCATCCGATACTTGCTGTTAATGATTGATAAATTTCTAAAGTAAGGCTTTGAAACTTTGAACGTGGCGATGTTTATTGGGTTCTTTCGCATTATCGGGGCGGGGAGCAAAATTTTTTAATGCCTAGTAACTTAATCGGAAGTTTTTAATAATTTTTTTTAGAAAAAAAGATGATTTCAACTAGAAACTGTCTCAAAACTTTTAAAAAGTTTTCAAAAAGTCGAAAATCTGTAATAAAACGGCATTTTTTTTGTCGAAAATGTGATATTTTTGCAGCAAAGTTTGCAAAGTTTTACAATTAGGAAAAGTAAAAAAAAAAGTTTAAAAACACTGCCGCTTTATGTTTTAAAAATTCGATCCTAAGAGCCCCCTATAATGCGAAAGAACCGTTTTCGTGTAGTTTTGCGGGACTTGAATACATATTTTATTCAAAGCAAGATATGGCTCTTTCTGGGTGGCGTGAGCAATTCTCTCTGTGGGGGTGGGGGATGGTCGCCTGGCAAAATTGCACCAATCACAAATGGGGGACCCGTAGCGGCGAAATGGGACGGAAATACATTCTTCTTGTGGCCTCGGGGGATATGTGGATAGAAATTAGTTATTTAATTCAGGGAACTTGGCACCATACAATTCACAACAAAAAAAACAACCCGCACCGGTGAGCGTGTGTAAATGGCTAGAATGGGGGGCTATAAAAAATGCAAAAAAAAAAAGATTTATGAAAGGGGATATGGGCACCAGAGATACGGTATGGCAACGGTAAATATGGAGTGCAGAAGATCGTGGATTTCGGCGAGAAATCTGCCTTTTGCTATGCTTCTGCGGGTACATGGCCCATTTTGCCGGTGTCAACGATGATTGGGGGATGGCCGTTGGCTGGAAATTGTATATGTTGTAAGGTTCTTATGCAATATCGGGGGGGGGCAATTTTTGTCGTATCTGCTTTTTTAAAATAGGAAAAGTTATTCTACTATTTTTTAATATTATTAAACGTAAAAATTACCGATTTTTGGGTAGAAAATTACAAAATTTGGATTTTTCAGCTAAAAATCTTAATTCTAAATGGTTTTTTAATATTATTAAACGTAAAAATAAATAGTTTGATGAAAAAATACAAAAATATCGCTTCTTCGACCGAAATCGCCAATTCTCGAAATTCATTAAAAAATACATTTCCTAAGTGTTTCTGCTTTCAAAATAGTTTTTTTTCACTTGAAAAATAGCTAAATCCCCCTCACCGTTATGCTAAGCCCCTTTAATAAACTACGATACATTTAAAACTCATGTATTTTTGGCGTGTTTCTTACCTGTAATATTTTGCGCTTTCTCGGCCAGATGGACAACCAACCACCGATAGCAATCGAGCGCCACGTGGAAGCACCAGATCTGAAAAGTTTTTTTTTTTGTATTTTTCAACCTTACTTTTACCGCGAAGACTTTAATAATTACCGTAAGCATCGCCACCGCCGTGTAGAACACGGCCACGATGATGAGAAGCCCGACGAGCAGGGCCGAGAGCCGCGTGACCGGGATTCGTGGAAGCGGAAGTCGTGGCAGATGGGATATTGCTTGTAGTCCCTCTGTTCGCAGATCGCCTGCAACGGGTTTTGTAACGGAATCAGAGTTTTAATAACTTTTATAGCTATTTTTTTAAAGGTTAAGCGCCAACCTTCTAACGTCAAGTTGACCTTGACGGAAGTGCCGACGAGCAGCGCGTAGAGGCTGAACAGACACATCCCGAACAGGGCCAAGATGGTCAGAATCTAGAGGTGGAGGTTTTGATGTTTTAACAATATATAAAGTCAGGTTCTTAGTTCTTTTATACTGTTTGTACTATTGATAGACGTAATTAGAAAAATTTATCTTTTTGATCAAATATGGACGATTTTAAAGCTTTTTCGAGTTTTCAGCCATTTGTAAAGTTTTCTAAATAGTTTTTCCGCTTTAAATACGACTAAATCCTTAAGAAAAACACTATAAAATATCTTATATTTCGTGATTAAGCGTATCTGAACTTCTAGGAAAAATTGGATTCGATAATGACAACGTATTTTAGTATTTAGATACCCTTACCTGCATTAATAGATGCGGTATTAATAATGTAGGTGTCCGCCGGAATATGCCGAACAAATGAAGGCCCACGGCGACGAACGCCAGTGCGACGGCGAATGCATGCAATGAAGCGGACAGCGCTGATGGTCGACCCACCAAGTCATCAGATACAAGGATCGTCTAAAAAGGATTTCAAGGTTTTATTTTTATACTTTTTGAGATACGTACCTGGTAGATGAGATATATAATCTCTATCGCGCCGATGCACAGTGCCAGTGTGCGGACATGGAAGAAGCCGCAGAACCGGTGTGTGGCCCCCGGCTTGACAGCCAGTGATGCCCCCATCCGGATCTAAAAAATGGTGGTTGAGGATGGAGCCCGCTGTTTAGATAGGCTGTTATAGTTTGTAACGTTTTTCAGGATATTTTTGAAACGTTGTAAGGAAAATAAGTGGTTTTGAGCACGATATCGAGCTCAGTTTTCAGAAAAAACGGCTGATGCTAAAAGTTCGAATCAAGACTGGAGCAATTTTCGATTATTTTTAGATTGTAGTTTTTATGGTTTATAAGATTTTTTGTGGGAACTTTGGGTTGGTTTTGAACAACGTTTTGATATCTTCAACGTTTTTGGCCCTTTTCAGGGTAAGATTTCAACGAGTTTCGGTTTTTTAGCATGAAATTGAGCTTTTGATGAGGTCATTTTTAGCGTTTTTTTTGCTCTTGGTATTAAAAATTGGGTGAGTTTCACGATTGAGGACCAAATTGAGGTCGGCTAATTTACTGATAACTTTTTCCTATGAAAATTAATTTAGTAAAATGAAAATGAGGAGGTGGTGGCAAGACAAAGAAAGGGGAGGTAGTGGTGCTTATTGGGCGCGTCAGTTGAGGACGATCAATTGGAGCGCGAAGATCGTTGGAAGCGATAGAAGAAGACTGGGGAGGGCGAGCCGACGATTCAAGGCACGATAGAAGGGGGAGCATGAGCAGGAGGAGGAGAATGACCGGGCGATGGTTTCAAGGTGATCAAGTCGGTGGGGACCAAGTGAGAAATGGATTTCACTAGGTTAGAAAGTTTGTTCTTCAGGTTTTTAGCTCCAAAAATCTCGTTTTTAGCTAATCGCAATTTTAGGAGTTTTATCTAGAAAAGGGCGCTTCGACGTTTATTAAACCTAAGCCAGGTAAGAAATAAGCTTTTCCGGAGCTTGAAAATAAAAAGCAGCAACCAAAAACGAGAAAACGAGCAGCTGCCCCTGATTTTCGAAATGCGAAAATTTTCTAATGTTTAGTTTTAGGGTTTTTACTTTAAAAATATGGAGTTAGGTTTATAAGCTGGCTTGGTCCTCGGATTAGATTTTTAAAGCTCGAAA